GAATTCATTACGGATGTCCCCAGGTATCATGTTGCTGCCAACCTAGAAACATAATCGGGGCGATTGTTACAGATTTCTATTGCATGCGGGTTAGTCATTTATGACCGTCTCATATATTTCTCTTAACAATACACTGTAATAGAACTACATGTACGTCTCGTGATACCTAAATGAGATAAATTAAACTACAGTAAACTACGTTTATAACGAGCACTCTCATAACAAACTGACTGATATAACGAACTTGTTGTTTAGTCCCGGCTGTTGTATATATTCTGTATATACGCTTATAACGAACTACGGTTATTACGAACTAAAATTAGTGGTCCTTTTGATTTTGTTATAACCGCCGGGCTTGCAGGTTAGAGCGCCTTGAGTAACCTATTATTGGATCGTGTGGTTAAATGATCAGTCATGCCTGACTGGTTTGTCTAACCCATAATCGAATATTTACAGGCAACAATCACATTACTATGTTAAACCAACAAATCATTATTTGTACTTGTAGACACCCTACCACTCGGTGTTAAGGGGATAAAACGTAGACTGATCGCCTCGGAGTCAGTATACAGTGGCTGAGTGGGATATCCATGTTAAACTGCGGTATCTCGGTAGGCCAGCACCGTGAAACTGGTCTAAGTCGGGACTAGTACAAGCACTCACACCCATACGCGAGCATGGACGTCGCTTTACACTACCAGGTGTAATAATCGTGAACACAACGTTAAACCAGTGTGAGTCGACATGATCACTGAAAGCCAACATAACTGACAATGAGAGATTGTATGAACGACACGTGGGGTGTGTATTGAAACCGTGACAAACCAAATGAGGTGAGGTGAGGTGAAATGGGGTTTAACGTCGCGTCCAAGATTATTGCACTTATATAGCGACGTGCATGTACGTGTGTGTGTTTGTGTGGCTGCTTGTACCAGTCCGGACTGATGCCGATTTATAGTGCTCACTGAGATACCATGCCGCAGTTTAACACGAATACCCAACTCAGACACAGTATTCTGACTCCAAGCCGACCTGTCCTTGTTTCAACTCCTTAATGCCGAGCGCCAGACATGGTAACAACAAGTACCATATTTTAACGTGTTTTGGTATGACGGGGCCGGGGATCGAACCCCGTACATTCCGCTCTCCGGGCGGACGCTCTGCCACTAGACAGACAGGCAGGCAGTTACATACACACATCTCCCTCCCAACTTAGCTCATCCATGACTCTATGCAGCAATATTCAAATATAGGGAAGAAATGAATTTATTACGGATGTCCCCAGGTATCATATTGCTGCCAAACCTAGAAACATAATCGGGGCGAACTTGAAGTCGAACCCACATTCAAGTTGTGGCGCCTTAGACGACAGGGCCACCCGTGCGCCCCCAATGAAAAGGGTATTCGCGGTGATGGACCTCTGTGTCAAAACCACAAGCATTGCGAAGACGGTAATAAAAGGATCGAGCCACTCCATCATGTCCTTAACCTTAAACTGTGGACTGGTTGAGTGAGATAAAATTAAGTGGCTTCTCTACACTGGTACAGCCTCACCTCATACACGTAGAAAATCCAATCACTGATAAATCTTCTCAATCATTACTCAATCCTCAATACTGTTCTTTTTGTTTATGTATGAGACAAGTATATCAACACTATTTGGTGAATCACGGACTTGAGCTACTTGCAAAGATTTTATGCACGCTTCTTTAGATTGAAACTGTTGTTGACTCTCAAAGCAATTTCTCAGTAGGGTGGAATGGAGCTCTGAAACTCATTGATCAGGGAACCATAAAAACAGTCTTCGTATGTCACAGCTGTAGAGGACTGACAAACGTGACCAACCCTTTTATAGCATTTAAAAAAAAGAATTTGTTGATACCTTTCATAAATATAATTTATTGTACAAACACTTTATATGTGTCTCTGTTCATGTTTTTGATCTGTCCGTAGGAAAGTCCTTTCATTGTAAAACTCTTTCAGTCCGTAGATAGTAATACTTTGTCGACGAATGCGTCAAACAATTTTGAATAATTCTTCAGTCCAACCAAAGTTGTGTTCCTTACTGGAAGGTTTTTCAAATAACTAGTTCGCACCTTCATTTAGTTTGGTGTAGGTTCATTTACTATTTTGTCGGACTTTCGTGTAGTGTGAGATTGTAATTATACACCAACCCAGATAAATAAAGCGACAAAACCTTTTCCATATCCAATAGAAATCGCTATCTATCGACAGTACAAATCCGACTATATCATGAGTATGTGTTTATGAATCACTATCAAATAGTAATGATAACAGGCGTTCGCGAAAAGGTGAGCGTATCCTGTCCCACCGGTGGCACACGTCACAAACACAGCAAAGGCAAGTCAATTGTTCACCTGGCCCGTGAAGATCCGGGGCCGATTAGGTCTTCAGCAACACATGCTTGCCGTAAAAGGCGACTATGCTTGTCGTAAGAGGCGACTAACGGGATCGGGTGGTCAGGCTCGCTGACTTGGTTAATGCATTTCATCGATCGCAATTGCGTGGATCGATGCTCATGATATTAATCACTGGATTGTCTGTTCCAGACTCGATTATTAACAGACCGCCGTCATAGCTGGAATATTGCTGAGTGTGGCGTTAAACAACAAACCAACCAACAACCAATTGTTCACCTGAAAAAACATGGGAACATATGGTACAAGTTATAGGAAATTGCATCTGGCATCATTTTTGCCACTGATACGTCAAATATGGAAATGTCCTCCACATATCTACCATAAAACCTTTTGAAAGCTTTACTGAGGCCTTGAATGTTGTAACCTTGATCATACCACTTCTTAGCAAGAGTCGTATGACACTCCTTGAAATCTTGTTAGAAAGAGCATGCTCGATCCTATCTAAAAGTTGCGAAATGTAAACACCAAAGGCTGGACCTGCTTGAATATTGTTCGACATGAAGGGAAAGTTGATTATTGGAAAGTTGAAATCATCCCTCTTGTCATACAGTCTTGTGGAGTCTTTGTCACTCTGAATTTTTATGCATAGATCGAACTATGAAACAGATGAGGCGGTCTCACTGGTCTCCTTTATGTCTGGTTCAGGTGGGTAAATCAGTGCAAGGGAATGGGCTATTTGATGGTTATTGAACGATATCAGATCATCTAAATATCAGAAGATTAAGTTAAACTTCTTTGCCAAATAACAGAAATTCCGATTCATATGCATAAAGAAACAGATACGCAAGAAGGGGAGCACAATCGGTGCCTATGGGGATGCCTACTCCTTGCCTGAATGTCTTACCCTCCAATTTTACGCAGATGTTATCAATGAGGGAGTCAAGCATTTCACATATTGTTTTCTCAGTAAACTTCAGATGGTATTTGCTTTCATTTTTTCAGACATTGTCCTGAACGTCTGAGTATAGATACGCAACTGTATCTGTGTTCACCACGTTTGGAACAAAAGGCCCATGTATCAAGGAATGAAGGTATTCCTTAAGTTTGTCATGTGGGATAGTGGTGTACATAGTTGAAAAATGAAATTTCTTGTCAGAATGGAACTTGGTTCGACATCAATGTACTTATGTGTGTTCTTATGTGTTAAATACCTAGTCATGAGTGATCTTAATGGGCGAAATACCCTTTCCGCACATTAGGCTTTAAAGTAACTATCAGTTTTATACCTTGTTTACCTACCTTCTTTGAAAACACAAGCAAAGTCCATACCTTTGTCTACACGGGAGATAAGTTTCAATCCTTCTACCACCATCTCGGGTTTTCTGTTCTTAAGGGGGGCACGGCTGGCTCAGTCGTCTAAGGCGCCGCGATTGTGCAGAGTTGTGTCCCTTTGGCACGACAGAAACCTATGATCGTGGGTTCGAATCCCGTTTCGCCCCAATTATGTTTCTAGGTTTGTCAGCAATATTCCCGTGCTCATAGGTTTCACCGAAGTGGTAAACGTCTGAGACTTGCGTCACTTTGGGCTTTCCTCCCACATTAAGCTGACACGCCGTGATATAGCCTGAATACTGTTAAAAGCGACGTCAATGCCAAGTTACTCACTCATTTTGTTCTTATGTGCCTTGACTCACAAAAATCGCAATAAAATGTCTATCGCTATGAAGAAATAATGCACACCATGAATAACGCACACTGGAATGGTGACTGACGTCAGCAAGGTCCATGTCCAACATTTCATCTCGCTCATTGACTCGTACACGTGGTCTGGGAAACCTATTCTTCACCTGCTTGTTCAATGAATTTGCATACTTGTCTTCCAGAAACTCCTTTACTTTCTTCAGACTGATATATTTCTGAAATTGTGTTGCTCTATTATAGGCGCGACTTTTTTAGGATCAAAGTATATTTCTTCCTGGATTTTTTTGGGAAGCTAGACATGACTGTAAATGATAAAGAAGAACATAGTACTACGTTAAATATATATTAAACTGTGAAATTGGTACACTGTACGTGATTAATAAAATCCAGTTTGTAAGTACATTACGTTTTCTTTCCACTGTACAGCCATGAGGTTTTCTATTCCTTCAGTCAACCAGTTTGTGTACTGTATTAAACCGTTGGCACCGCCCCCTACGCCCTGTCTGTACAAGATGAATGTGCAGATGTATAGTTTGCATAAATTGTCTAGTCTTTGCCTTTTGCTTTTTAATTAGCAGCTCCAACTGGAACTCATCGCCCAACAACGCAACATGGTTCTGAATGTGAACCTTCTCAGGTCAGAATATCTATAGTTCGCATGATTCGCATGTCATGAGGTCTAACAGGTACTAAGCTTCTGATGCTTGTTGTAAGAGGCGACTAACGGGTTCGGGTGGTCAGGCTCGGTTGATGCATGTAATCGTATCCCAATTGCGTGGATCGATGCTCATGAGGTCAATCACTGGATTATCTGGTTCAGACTCGATTATTTACAGACCGTCGTCATATAGCAGGGATATTGCTGAGTGCGGCGTTAAACAACCAACCAAATAAGTTTCTGATCAAAAGAAACAGTGCTAACATTTCCTTTGAAATTTATTTTGTCGTTCTCTCATAAGTCAAAATCATGGCCCCTTTGGGTGAATTAACAAAATGCAATCAAACATATATGGAGTCATTACTGTCAAGAAAAAGCAGATGCCACAAACAATCACTAAGCAGGAAACCAGAAATCAGTACAAACAGAGCTAAATTGTGAAATCAGTAGCCACACTAAATCAAAGAAAAATCAATACATTATATTGAAACGCACAGTTTTAGGTTCGCTATCAAACATGGCAATACAATGGGTCAAATGAGGGGCAGCAGTAGGGCTTGTAATTAATGTTCAAACATTCACGAATGTTCAGAATAATGTCTTTCAAACATGACTAACTTCTTGAATCATATCAATATTGGATGGTGGAGATTCTGTGATTACAGAACATGTTGTTTTGAAGTAAATGAGACAGACCTCATGTCGAAAAAGGCCTCAACTCACACTCTTGTGTATCTTATATATGGAACCGCAATCCTCCTTGAAACTGTCCCACGTCTCGAAGGATCAAGCATGTTATGTTTGCAAACAGGGATGGTAACCCTTAATTCCATTCACTTGCTGCCGCCGACATTTTACTGGTGCTTCAATCATTTACTGCCACTGAAAATCACTGCAAGTAAACCTGCGACGATCTCTGCTGCAACATACCAGAGTGTTGGAACTGATATGACTGTAGCTGTGCTGGACATTATTTCTGTACTGGTAGCTTGTTTTGATGGAGGTGAAGAATTTTGTGTTGTGCGGGCTGTTGTAGGAATTGTTGATGTAGTTGTTGGTGTAGTTGTTGTTGCAGTTGTGGTAGTTATTGGTGTAATTGTGGTAATTATTGGTGTAGTAGTGGTAGTTGGTAAAGTGGTAGTTGTTGGTGCAGTTGTAGTAGATGTTAGTGTAGTTATGGTAGTTGTTGGTACAGTAGTAGTTGTTACAGTTGTTGGTGTAGCTGTGGCAGTCGTTGTAGTAGTTGTTGGTGCCATTGTGGTAGTTGTTGGTGTAGTTGTGGTAGATGTTAGTGTAGTAGTGGTAGTTATTGTAATTGTGGTAGTTGGTAAAGTGGTAGTTATTTGTTCAGTTGTGGTAGATGTTAGTGTAGTTGTGGTGGTTGTTGGTACAGTTGTAGTTGTTGTAGTTGTTGATGGCGTAGCTGTTGGTGCAGTTGGTGTAGTTGTTGTTGCAGTTGTGGTAGATGTTAGTGTAGTAGTGGTAGTTGGTGTAATTGTGGTAGTTGGTAAAGTGGTAGTTATTGGTGCAATTGTGGTAGATGTTAGTGTAGTTGTGGTGGTTGTTGGTACAGTTGTAGTTGTTGTAGTTGTTGTAGTTGTGGAAGATTGTGACGTAAAATTGCGACAAGTGTCACAACACCTCCCAATGTAGTCGGGACCGGAAGTGATACAGTTGCTATAGGCACATGGGCCAGTCAACGTGTTGTCGCCATAGGGACAGTCTGCAACATAATCAAGCAGCATTTAAACGTTCAAATATTTGCTAATTGCTATATTGATGACAATAGTGTCGAGCATGTTCGTCTTTCAATTATCATAACCATCGTGTTACCTTTCACTAGACCATGGTCCATGTGGAAGTAAATCCCAAGGTAATGCAGATGAAACATGTTTAACCCTTTGGTGAATCCGATGATCAATGGCAGCACATGGTGGTAAGAGGCATAGATTCCATTCGCGGATAGATTCACAGTAAATTTATGCAACTCCGCATAACTATTCTTTTCAACTATAAGACATATGTCGTCATTTAGACCAGCTCTCACACGTAATGTCATCACATAAATTATAGATACCAGACACTGCGATGACGGACGACTATGCGCTGCAGACAACAATTATGGAGCTTTGGAATACATTACAAAAGAGGAATTGACATGTCTTCAGGTTTTAGAGTCAAAACAAAAGGTGTTAGGACATGCTATACAGTCTAATAAATTGCAATATTGACACTCGTTCTTCAGGAGACAAGGAATACCATGCACTTATCTCTCTTTCTATCTTACTCTTATCATCAAATATTCTACATTATGTGAACTGGATTCCTTATTAACTGCCCCCCCCCCCCCCCCCCCCCCCCCCCAATGTATCGTATGGCATATATCAGACACCTTAGTGTTGAAGCTTAGATTTACAGTTAAACAAATCTGTTAAGTGACGAAATCAACCGAAACAAAATCAGAATACGGAAGAAATACACACTTTGGGTTAATGCGTGCAAAGTATTGTACCATAACAATATATAACCACCAACTCCAATTTGAAACAAAATAAAACTGTTAATAGATATGTTGAAGTATTGTGACTGATTACACGTGTCCTTTCTGAATAGTTCCTAATATAAGTAGACATGATTTAAGTTTCCTGTAGAGGACACATAGAGGAGAGGCAAATATAGAGTAATGTCAAAATGTTAACTTATGATAATACTGACAATGGCCAACAGTGTGCAGAAATATCTAGCATTTATGTTTCTACGAAGCAGTTATTAGTATATATATTACTTCTAACTAATGAGCCATAATGCTCCGTAGGTTACCCATGGCTCCTCAATTCTTTCAAACATTAGATCATAATCCAAAACCCAAACCAGACCTCACCAAAACCCCTAGTGTCTGTACTTACCACCTCCTGATGAGTAGGCTGAGCAAGTCTCACAACAGCCATAGGCATTGTTTTCAATGTAACAAAGACGTTTCTGTTCCTGAGTAATAACAGTGTCACAGTCAGAGTAACGATCCCCATACGTGCAATTGGCTGGAAAACATACAATTCAATAATATGAATATTGACGAAATACACACTTTGTGTTAAAGGCATGAAACTTTGCATGTCAAACTGTTAATAAACCAGTTGTAATATTGTGATTGATAATATCTGATCTATTCTGAATAGTTCAAAAGATTAGCAGAATTGTGTTAGGATTCATGTTAATATTGACAATGGTTAGCATTGTGTAAAAACACCTGCCATTAACACAATAGATATGTTGTAATATTGTAACTGATTACACGTGGTCCTTTCTGAATAGTTCCTAATATAAGTAGACATGATTTAAGTTTCCTGTAGAGGACACATAGAGGAGAGGTAAATATAGAGTAGCGTCTAAATGCTAACTGTATCAAAATGATAATACTGACAATGGTAAACAGTGTGCAGAAATATCTACTATTTATGTTTCTACGAAGCAGTTATGAGTAGATATATTACTATGAACTAATGATCCATAGTGCTCTGTAGTTTACCCATAACTTCCTCAATGCTTTCAAACATAAGATCATAATACAACTGTAAACATGAATATACAAAATAATTAACAAACGTTTCTACCCACAGGTGGCTACTGGGCGCGAAAGGCAACACCTATGTGAGGTGAGGTGAAATTGGGTTAAACGTCGCGTCCAAGATTATTGCACTTATATAGCGACGTGCATTCACGTGTGTGTGAGGCCGCTTGTACTATTTCGGACTGACACCGGTTTATAGTGCGAGCACACTGAGATTCCATGACGCAGTTTAACACGAATATCCTACGCAGACACAGTATACTGACTCCGAGACGACCAGTCCTTGTTTTAGCCCCTTAATGCCGAGCGCCAGGCAGGGTAACCACAAGTACCATCTTTTAACGTCTTTTTGGTATAACGCGGCCGGGGATCGAACCCCGGACCTTCCGCTCTTCGGGCGGATGCTCTACCACTAGACCACGGAGGCGGTCTGCAACACCTATGTGAAACACCCTCGCGACTATGATATATGTACCCGTCAATAACCTAAATGTTGCAGATTAGAATTTGAGCAAATCCCTTAATTTCGATGATCAGGAGTATGTTATGTATAAAGCCAATATATACTTGGTGCTCAAATAAAAAAAAAAATACGGCCTGTCCAATAACTTTTAATAATGATAACTGCAGAAACTCGAAAATAAGATTTAGACTTATATAATCCTTATAAACTACAACTTGAATGATTGACTAAATCATCCAAAACCAAAACCAGACCTCACCAAAACCCCTATTGTCTGTACTTACCACCACCTGACGAGTAGGCTGAGCAAGTTTCACAACAGCCATAGGCATTGTCTTCAATGTAACAAAGACGTTTCTGTTCCTGAGTAATAGCAGTGTCACAGTCAGAGAAACGATCACCATATGTGCAATTTGCTGGAAAACAAATAATTCAATAACATGAACATTGCAGAAATACGCACAACTGTTAATAAATCAGTTGTAATATCGTGATTGATAATATCTGATCTATTCTGAATAGTTCATAAGATAAGAAGAATTGTGTTAGGATTCATGTTAATATTGACAATGGTTAGCATTGTGTAAAAACACCTGCCATTAACACAATAGATATGTTGTAATATTGTAACTGATTACACGTGGTCCTTTCTGAATAGTTCCTAATATAAGTAGACATGATTTAAGTTTCCTGTAGAGGACACATAGAGGAGAGGTAAATCTAGAGTAGCGTCTAAATGCTAACTGTATTAAAATGATAATACTGACAATGGTCAACAGTGTGCAGAAATATCTACTATTTATGTTTCTACGAAGCAGTTATGAGTAGATATATTACTATGAACTAATGATCCATAGTGCTCTGTAGTTTACCCATAACTTCCTCAATGCTTTCAAACATAAGATCATAATACAACTGTAAACATGAATATACAAAATAATTAACAAACGTTTCTACCCACAGGTGGCTACTGGGCGCGAAAGGCAACACCTATGTGAGGTGAGGTGAAATTGGGTTAAACGTCGCGTCCAAGATTATTGCACTTATATAGCGACGTGCATTCACGTGTGTGTGAGGCCGCTTGTACTATTTCGGACTGACACCGGTTTATAGTGCGAGCACACTGAGATTCCATGACGCAGTTTAACACGAATATCCTACGCAGACACAGTATACTGACTCCGAGACGACCAGTCCTTGTTTTAGCCCCTTAATGCCGAGCGCCAGGCAGGGTAACCACAAGTACCATCTTTTAACGTCTTTTTGGTATAACGCGGCCGGGGATCGAACCCCGGACCTTCCGCTCTTCGGGCGGATGCTCTACCACTAGACCACGGAGGCGGTCTGCAACACCTATGTGAAACACCCTCGCGACTATGATATATGTACCCGTCAATAACCTAAATGTTGCAGATTAGAATTTGAGCAAATCCCTTAATTTCGATGATCAGGAGTATGTTATGTATAAAGCCAATATATACTTGGTGCTCAAATAAAAAAAAAAATACGGCCTGTCCAATAACTTTTAATAATGATAACTGCAGAAACTCGAAAATAAGATTTAGACTTATATAATCCTTATAAACTACAACTTGAATGATTGACTAAATCATCCAAAACCAAAACCAGACCTCACCAAAACCCCTATTGTCTGTACTTACCACCACCTGTCGAATAGGCTGAGCAAGTTTCACAACAGCCATAGGCATTGTCTTCAATGTAACAAAGACGTTTCTGTTCCTGAGTAATAACAGTGTCACAGTCAGAGAAACGATCACCATATGTGCAATTTGCTGGAAAACAAACAATTCAATAACATGAACATTGCTGAAATACGCACAACTGTTAATAAATCAGTTGTAATATCGTGATTGATAATATCTGATCTATTCTGAATAGTTCATAAGATAAGAAGAATTGTTTTACGATTCATGTTCATATTGACAATGGTTAGCATTGTGTAAAAACACCTGCCATTAACACAATTATCGTATATCCAATATAACGCTTTGTAACACCAATTTTATGAATAACATATTACTGCTTTAATAATAAGAGAAGTAGATGGTACATATTGATACGCTGGCTTGATACATTGGATATACTAGACTGATACATTGGAGTGAATGAGTATGGTTTTACGCCGCTTTTAGCAATATTCCAGCAATATCACGGCAGGGGACACCAGAAATGGGCTTCACACATTGCACCCATGCCGGGAATCGAACCCAGGTCCTCGGCGTGACGAGCGAACGCTTTAACCACTAGGCTATCCGATATATGATATCCGCCTCTGATATATTGGACTGAAGAATTAGATTAATACATTGTTTTGACACATCGTATTGATACATTGGGTTGATAGATGATATTGATACGCTGGATTGATATTTTGTATTGATACATGAGATTGATAATGTGTACTGGTTTATTGGGATGATCTGATACACTGGACTGACATATTGTATTGATACATTGCATTGATACATTGGACTGATACCTTGAACGTAAACATTTGACTGATACACTCGACATATATAGTGGACACATTTATTTGAGTGATACACTCGACTGATACATTGGATTGATATACTGGTCTGATACATTGGATTGGTACATTGAACTGGTACATTGGATTGAAACAATTGACTTATACATTGGATTGATAAATTGGTCTGATGCAATCAATTAATACATCGGACTGATAAAGGGGACTTCTACATTGAATTGATTCATTAGGCCTATACACTGGACTTATAGATTAGGTTGAAGTGATACATTCGAGTGATGCATTGAATTGATACATTGGACTGATACAGTGGACGGATACATTGAACTGATACGGTGGACTGATGAATTTGGTCACAGATCCGGTATTAAATCAAGTATTTTGATTGTATGTTAAGGGGAGATATCCCAGTTTGGAATTGGTGAAAGACATCTAATCATTTAAAAAGTATTTTATTCCATAGAATAACTTACTGCCACTCATTAACGTTAACAAATTAACATTTTAATAATTTCAACCTCACATTTCAGTGTGCAAACTTTCGACTTACCAGTGTCTGTATTTATAAGATTCTCCGAAACTCAAACCGTCTAAAGGTCTCTATCATTACTTACCTACTGCCGACTTGAAAAGTGGGCATGTTTCACAACAACCCCGGGCAGTTCCTTCACTGTAGCATAAACCTTTCGTGTCCTGAGTTAATGTGTCACAGTTTCTATATCGATCTCCATATGGACAGTTTTCTAGAGCAAACGAAATATACAAATACACATAAGAAATATGAGGCAAATAAATACAAACGTATCTTAATCTTGAAGATGACCCGTTGGTTAACACATCAGTCAATATGTCCATGTTCAACAGACACTGATGGCAACATTCCAAATGACACAAACCGTAGGGGAGGTACGTAAACCACGTGCTGAGTACCACAGAGGAGTGAATGTCATACTGGATTATCACGTGGTACTTGTATCCACAATTCACACAACAGTAAGTACAGTCTTGAACATTACTGCTTTATGCTTTTATTGAATATGTTTGCTGGATGTGTTTGGCTATTACATTATTGTATGGTTTTATCATGTGAGAATCGCAAAAATCAAGTAATAATATGGAAATGGGGGTGATTTGTATTTGAGACAGTTCGTGTTTTGTTTGATTCTTGTTTCTAAACACTAAACTATTGAACAATAGTTTATCATTGTTAATAATTCTAAGAAAACTACCTCAATTACATATCTGCCATAGATCCTGCATTTTGGCTTCAATCACACTAACTAAAATCTTCAGATTTTCAACAGACGTCCTCTTCACTGTCAATCACACAATTAGTTGTCGCCAAGTTGTCTCGTAACTACCCAAGCCAAGGCATCATAATGGCGGCAACACCACTTTCATCTACTACTAGAGGTAGACGAATTCGAGACGTGGGAGGGAGTAATTCGTATGTAAAAGAGGCAGTATTTTTAGAATTATCAACAATGATAAACTATTATTCAATAATTTTTACGAAGCTTCTACACCTGTTACATATCTGCCAGAATATACCAGAGGGACCCCTGTGTAATTCACAGCAAACCCCTTTCTGGAAATCATTATGTACTGATTCTAATCCTACTTGAGATAATTTCCTCTGAAATTCCCCTTGAGGACTTGAAAATCAGATACTGTGTCAAGAATCAGTCACATATGTGATATTTACATTAGATTTACCACATATTTGCTGATGTTGATCGTGAATAAACCTAGATTTGTGATTTTTAATACCGACGATTACGTCACTTCCGGTATGTCACTTCCCCCTTTTGGTAATGGCGTCTTTCTAGGTCTATTTCTACCCCAAAGGCGTCATTTAGCAACTTTTTTTCGGGTGCTGACGTCACTTTCTCTTATTCTCTCACTTCCGGTCTAATGGTCATAATTGATATTTAAGGTGCTTCTAATCCTCCCTACACCTGATATGCAGAATAATAATCAAAGGTGTACACACCCTCTGATGCTGCTGGTGTCGGAGGATGAAGGTCTCCCCGATCTTGCCACAGCTTCTGAGGCAAGTTCAGAGTATACGGATGTCTGCATCTTCTGCATGAAAACTTCCAGGCGGTTAGATGTAGACTGCAGATTTTCGTGAAATATGCTGGACTTGGGTTGTCATAGCAGATCTCGACGAAGTGGTTACTGTATAGGTTCCTCCATTTGTAGCCTGCTTCTGAATATAGGCCACTACTGTGGTGTTGTCCGTGGCTATGAGAACAGATGATAGATGAAGATGTATCCACCATTCCAGGATGGCGTTATATATGGCCTTGATTTCCCTGCAGTTGATATGAAGGTTTTTCTCCACTGTGTTCCACGATCCCTGTACGATGAGATCGTCCATATGGGCTCCCCATCCCGAATCTGACGCGTCTGTGAATAGATGGTGCTCGTGCGTCGGATATATCAGAGGGATGCCACTCATCACATGTTCTCTGTGATTCCACCAATGGAGGTCTCATAGTAATCTGGGAGTTAACTGAGTCAGGCACTCTTGGCCGTGAGATCGTATATAGTTGACACATATCTGTAGAGGACATAGCATCAGCCTTCCTCTGAAGATCATAACCTGTAGAGACGTAAAGTTGCCCTGAAGAGACATCCACCACCTCGGCGACTTGCTGGGTTGACTTGAAAGTGATTGATTCATCTATATAGTCTTATCGAATCGATCCTCCGATGGGCATAGATATCCCCTGTCTAGCTGGAATCTTACTCTGATGTATATAATGTCTTGAACCGGAGTAGTCTCTGACTTGGATGGATTGACTAGAAGGTCATAAGTTTGACCATGAATATCAAGTTCTGATGTAGCTGATCTTTTCCTTGGTCTGTCGCTAGGAAGTCGCCCAGATAGCTTTGAATTCGAACTAGCTGGAGGTGAGCGAACTTGATGACTGGTGCTGTAATCCTGGTGAATAGCCAAAGCTCTATTGCTATCCCGAATGGTAGGACTTGGAATTCGTAGCGTCGACCATTGAAGCGTAGATAGTTACTGGAGGATGGGTTTCTCGGGACGTGAAGATATGCATCTGTTAGTCTAGGCTGATAAGCCAGTCCCCTTTCTTCAACCTAGACCATAATTTCCGTATGGACTCCATCTGGAATTTTGGTGGAGGTACCAGATCTCTTGATGAGGGTTTTTAATTTATAATCATCCTCATCTCGGTTGTATTTTTTTCCAGAAGACCAGAGAGTAAAAACCCTTGGCTCCGACCAGGGGAAATCTTCGGCCCACGGCGTGTCTGTTCAGGATCGGGTGTTCCCTGAAGTGTAGCTTGTATCCATGATCCACGACGTGTTGAATCCAGTGGGCGGGCATAACTCGCTTCCATTTTTCGGCGTATGACAGTAGACGCCTTCCCACTGGGCCCGGATTCGGCATTATGTTGAAAGACGATAGGCGTTAATCACAGTCCATAGACATAACTAGGATAATGGATATAATGGATAATCGTCGCACTCTGCGTTTATACCGTAGGTTTCGTCACCCTCCGGTCACCATGATTCCGGTATAATCTGTCTCTGTGTGGCTTGTGGTCCATGGGTAGCGGAAGCCATGCAGTGGCTGCACTTTCGGCCGGCTGGCCAGTCGGCTGCCTGGGTCGGCTGCCGGCTGCCTGCCGTGCGGCTGGCTTGGGAACCGTTGGCTGATGAAGGTCATACGGTAAGCCGTAGTCGGTCGGCTGGGTAGCTGTGGGTGGCTGGCCCATGGAGTCCGTGCAACTGTTCAGCGTCTGGCTGGTGTGGCTGGCTGGCTTGGTTGCCGTGGACGGCCTGTACATGGATACCGTGCCGTTCCCGTACGGTATTCTCCCTTGGTTGGGTAACGCCTGCTGGCTGACCGTACGGCCCAGTTTACTGGTCTATTGTAGATGGGCCTACGGCCGTGGAAGAAGATCGGATAGTCTATGCCAGAGCTATCTCTTTGATCTTTCCTATCTCTGTATCCATTGCTGAGAGCTTCGTCTCGAGCATGCCCTTCACCATCTCCTGCTGTTGAACAGTTGGTTGATCAGACTCATGGTGGGTGCAGGAGATGGTGGGTGGACTGGAGAGGGAGGCACTGGAGTGGAAACTGATTTTCAAGTTACGATGTTTTCCACTTTCTTCTTGGCAGCCTCGCACCTACTGCATTGTTCACATCTCTTCTACTAAGTGCAGGCCATAGCTCTGCACTTCGTGCAGTTTTCATGAGGACCTCCCCTGACCATGAATCGGCCACACTTCTTGCACCCAGGTGTAGAGGGAGACAACATGACGACCTCACAAAATCCCCAAACACAGGCTTTTATGTCTGTTATTATAGAAAACTTATGAGAATTATCTTAGGTTAATGTGCCTTACTACCAAGTGCTAGATTGTTACTGTGGGAGTTAACTCAAGCACACACAGGAAAAAAAGTGATGTTGCCGCCATCATGGCGTCATGGCTTCGGTAGTTACACGACTACTCTGCGACAACTAATTGTGTGATTGACAGTGAGAAGGACGTCTGTTGAAAATCTGAACATTTTAGTAAGTGTGATTGAAGCCAAAATACAGGATTTATGATTTATATATGTACCCGGGGCAGATGTTTTGATAGAATTGTTTCTAGTACAGAAAAGCAGTGAAAACCCTTTGCTCACAACCCATTTTCCCCGGAAAACCAGCATGTAAAAAAAGAACTGATATTGCCGTTGGTTAATTCTTTTTCAAAAACAAATTATTTGCTGCATCAAAAATATCAGCTCAGTTACCCCCACCCCCAACCCACCACCACCACATCACTCCACCCACGATCCCATAGACAGCACCATTACAAAGTATTCCCTATTGGAACATGATATTTTCTCTGTACATATCGAATACATGAAACATGTAGATGTAAAGCACATTAGATTTATACTTAGAAATAGTGTACATTCTGTACAATATGCTTGAAATGACTTAACGAGAGACTACTATCATTAAGAAATAAGTACCGTCATTTCTCTTGTAGATAGGACAGGTCTCACAGCAGGCCGTCAAATAACCAGGATTGTAGCACAAACGTGGTGTTGCACTTATCAGCTCAGCACATGTTCTATTGCCCGGGTACACGATTGGCTGGTTCCCAAAGAGACAGTCAGCTGAAATTGTTGGCAGGTTTCCGAAAGTGATCATTGCATTCAAGGAAAAGATGTCGTCCGAGATATTATGGCGCTCTCTAACGAGGTATAGCATACACACCCAGAAAAAAAAGTCAAGTACCACTTACTATTTCTTAAATTTGTATCCTGTTTTAATGTTCTGACGACAAACATTTGTTTTGGTTCACCGTGTGACATACTCGAATTGAAATACAGAATATCGAATATTTATGATCATTAATTTGTTTTGTGACCGTTTCATGACAATATGACCATGACTACCATTGCTTCCTTTGCTTCTTTAAATGATATTATGTACACTTTTTTTGTATCGATTGGTGGTCTGATGTGCTACGACACATTTGGCAAAGTTGCATCCCTAAGTGCTTCCAAGATCCACTGCTAGTGGATTCGAAGTCACAGATTCACCTTTGTTATGATCCGTAGTTTGTCAGCATCATACCCATGCTCCCGAGAAGCGATTCCTCTGAATTATGTGTAAACGTATACTTCAATAACTTACTATTGTTTTGTTCTGGTGCATCTATGGAAAACACACAGTGTCCAGCAACACACCACTGAAATCACAGCGCAACACATATAACACTACTAATGATAATAATAACAACAATTTATGAAACATTTATAGCAATTTTTACGCCTATCAACTTATACAGTCCAATTTCATGAACATGTTGACATTCAATTTTCATTCACAGTTCCCTGGGAAGTGCATGCAAATGTTAACATGGGTTAAGTACAGACACATATGCACGTTCAGATGGTGTACCTTTTTATCGCCACATGGCGTTCCGTCTGCAGCGTTTCGGGACGACTTAAGCTGTTCCTTGCCACAGACCATTCTCTTGCATATGTTTTCTGAATTACCTATGTCGATATCCTGTAAATGTCATGTTCAGTAGTGAGTAAAATGTCTATCGTGATAATGGAAATATAGCAGAAAGACAGTTTTACACCTGTCTAGTATATGATGGACCAAGCAGGATTTCTTCTAATGCTAATAAATATATTTTTCGTACTGATCGCAAGACGAAGCCTGGCCCAAACATCATTTGACACTGCGTGTGAACGTCGTAGAGCTGTCCCGGCATCGTCCCCGTGATGTTTGTCACAGAAGCCGGCTCGAGACTCGTCTGTAGGCATTGCTGTTGGGCATTTGTACTGAAAAATATACGATACTGAATAGGAAATATCACGGCTGTATTATGTTATATGGATATACTCATGGGCATAGGCACCAGCACATATTGTAAAATGTCACAATACTGTAGGTGAGGTGAGGAGAAATATTCTTTTTATGTCGCGTCCAAGATTATTGCACTTATATAGCGATGTGCATGCACGTGTGTGTGTATGTGTGTATGTGTGTGCGCGTGCGTGCGTGCGTGCGTGCTCGTGTGTGTGCGTGCGTGCGCGTTTGTGGCTCCTTGTAATAGTCCGGATTGATGCCGATTGATAGTGCTAGCCCACTAAGATACCATGCCGCAGTTTAACATGAATGCCCCTCTCAGACACAGTATACTGACTCCGAGCCGACCAGTCCTTGTTTTTGCCCCTTAATGCCGAGCGCCAGACAGGGTAGCAACAAGTACCATCTTTCAAGGTCTATTCGCATGACGCGGCCGGGGTCGAACCCCGGACCTTCCGCTCTCCGGCGGACGCTCTACAACTAGACCACGGATGCGGTCCATAATGCTGTAAATACGTTACGCAGAGTTATTAATTTTGCCTTAGCTGCGCCAGCAACCGACGGTCTTGGTTTCGGATTCCAGTGAACACACCACCACACATATTCACTCCTAAAAATGTGTCACCTTTACCAATCACCTTTCGCACTAACCAAGTTGAAAATATATTGGTTTGGAAAACATATTTTAACAGGGCTAATGAAAAACAACTCACTGAAACTCAGCTTTTATTGTAAATAATACTTTATAATTGACAAGTTGATTATGGCTAAATTAAAGGAAATAGTAATGTATTCATAGTCAGGAAAGAAATGCCGTGGACAAAGGTAATGAAATAATTCTTAGATACACCTAACAAATTTATAGTATTAGATGACTTATCATGGGCAAGCACACAACCACTTTGGCATACACCGTATAAAATGAATCACGTGAAAAAGCTGTCGACAGCAAATGTCTGACACCCCAAAAAGAGTCGGATTATTCCAGATCTTCAGTTATAAAGTGTTCATTTCACATATAGGTTTGAGTGTTAAGGTTGTTTTTATTATAGCACCAAATTTTTATATAAGATAGCTACACGTTAAATCGCAAAGAAGATGAAGAACGAAGCGTGGTTTATTTCACGATAAAACATTGTTCTATCATGACGTCATTTCTGGAGATTCGAACATGCGCTCGTAATCTGATGACGTCGTAAATTGGATGACGTTATTTTTGAGAGGTAAGTGTCAAGTGAGTTGTTCCCCATAGATGTAGCTGGACACAGCAGATACACGCAATGGCCAAACGATCGTATCCAAAAGTGGAAGAGATATGACAATCGGTATTGGAAGAAACGGTGCAGATAATCTACGAGACAGTTGTGATAATACCAAACTTAACCCACCTTGTACACAAAATGGAATTGTCCGACATTGCCGAGGTTTGACTGTATTCAGGGAGTCATCATTATTTTAAATATGGATTACTGTCTTTAAAGCTTGTACAATTTATTGACATCCTTCAAAAGGCTGTACAAAATGTTCATATCTCATATATGATTTAAACGTCTCGTGGTCGTTGTTTTATCTTACAGTTTATTCTCCCTGCAGTGTTTTATTGTACAATAAATAACTCCCTCTCGTCGTTTATTTCTTAAATATGTCGAGTTCAAACGATATACATATTTTATAATGCACACACAAATCGTCTTTACAAGTAAAATTCACCTAATAGATAAAGAAACTACCATCTCACTTTTGAATCCTGATCCAAAATCTAGCTTGGCTACATTTAAACAAAATGGTTAACTGTTTATAGTAAAACCTTGTTAACCTGAGGCTCCCATCAAATAAAACGTATAAAAACATGTACCGTATTCGACGTAATAAGCGCCAAGGGCGCTTTCAAAATTAGAAATAGGGGGCTCTTATTAGAATATTATTTTGGTGAAAAAAAACCAGGGTTGAAAGATAAATTTTGTGGTTTAAGCTGACAGCCTGAAATCAGCAAATATCGCCGTTGGCGCTTATTGGAGCGGGGCGCTTATTACGTCGAATACGGTAATTGATCGCATGATCAGGAACAGTTAATATAGTGGTCACCACTTCATTATACCTGTGTGCCTGTCTGTCTGTCTGTCTATCCGTCTGTTTGGAAATACATGTATGGTACCCCCATCTCCCATGTCGATGTGTGTCAGGTTTCTATTCCATTTATTTTCTTTTTCACTGTTTCGTCTTTCATACCAACCCGTTTGTCAGGATTCCTTGGATGAAGGTTTGAAAGTAGCGTGACGAGCATGTAGAAAAGACGTAGTAGTTGTTGTGGTCAAGAACATGGGTCGTGCTGTACCCGCTGCCGGTCATGATGTACTCGTGTGTAGAGTTACACGCGTTGTTGTATTCCCCGTCATGCCAGGCGCTGAGCCTGCGAAATACCAGGTTCGATTTACAAGATATATTCATCTCTCTTCATCATCCTATTTTTATCAATATTTTAGCACCATCCCATGCGTTTCACACACAGCACCAATGAAGGGATTTAACCCAAGAAATTTGTATGCTGAGAAATTGCTTTATTCACACAGTTAAGCGTCCGTGAAGATCCGGGGTAGAATAGGTCTTCAGCAACCCTTACTTGCCCTAAAAGGTGACAATGCTTGTCGTAAGAGGCGATTAACGGGATCGGGTGGTCAGGCTCGCTGACTTGGTTGAAGCATGTCATCGATCCCCATTGTGTCCCGATGCTCATGACATCAATCATTGGATTGTCTCGATTATTTACAGACAGAGTGCGACGTAAAACAACAAACTAACCAACCAACTTGAGAATAGGCTAACATGAATAGCAACAGATGTCCAGTACATGTGTCTTTTCCGGGTTTTGCATGTCGCGTCCGATGTATATATTAGTAATCTAGCATAGATTCGAAATCACCGGCGACCAATAAATATGAACTATTAAAAAAACCATGGTAAACTATACATTAAAAACACTTACGCATGTCCGACTTCATGTGTTGTGACGAGCATGTCGTCAACCAGGTTGTCAGTGTATTCCACAGCTGACACACTGTAATTTGGTGTTTCACATATTGTTCCTACATATGCATATCCTGTGACAAAACGACGATGGAAACTAAACATGAAACACATTAACATATAGCAGGAAAGCGTATGTTTTTAAACCTTCTTTAGAAATATTCCAGGAATATCACAACGGGTGTCCCTAGAAATGGGCTTCAAACCCCGTCTTCAGCGTGATGAGCGAACGCTTCAACCACCAGGTTACCCAACCACCTTATGTATCAAGAAATACCTTCTGTTGCCATTTGCATTGCTTACCGTATAAAGGTAGACTCAATTGTGAAGGTTACAGTGATTATATGCATTTATGTTGATGCGAAATATGTGGATATCCGGATGTATTGTTTTCTACCTGAATACACAAAACGCACAGTAGCTGGATGCCGTTTTCAGGAATGTTCTGGGAAGAACAGATGAACATGAACATGACAATAACTTTAACACTGGGTAAAGAACAACACATATCTCACTATGATTTGTTTGTAATATGTGTAAAGCAAATCCTTAGCCATTTCATATCTCAATTAAACAGAAGTATATTAGTTTTCCTGAAGAAAATCCAGAGGCGATATGAGTAATGTCTTTCCTAACACGAATAATTATAATATAATATGACCACAATTTGTTTTCCTTTTGAGTACACATCAAGGTATCCCCGAACCAAGTGTTACCAAAGGCATGTATAGATTGCTAAAATATTTAGATACTCAATCCAAAATCAAAAAGAAAATATACTACGACTCACCAAGCAGGTTTCTCGTCTGTCCGGTTTTCGCCACAATGAACAGATCGTTCCTAAAACGAATTGGTAACATGACATGATCTTTGAGCACCGACAGAGATTTAGCAGGACAGAGTATCACCATATTAATGATAGCCCTGGATTCTTTAATTTATAGAGTTAATTACGTTTAAGCATAATTTCAGTCATATATCCACGTGTTAGATTTGTTTGATGTTCTAAAGCGTCATTAGCCAAATTGCCTTGTGTCGTTTTTTCTTCGATTCATTGAAAATATTTCGATTCCGATACTGACTTTTAGCTCATGTTTTGTTGTGAACCATGAATATGCCGCCGCCAGAAGACTCCTGGACATCTTGAGCCTGATACCATGTCAGTATTTAAAATGTTTTAAAGCTGAATTTTGAACCGATGTCGAGTGTTCCTTCCTATAAAGTGTTCATTACATGGCTGGAAATGGCTCTACCCTTGACCCGATGTGAGGGTCTCAGACGTGAACATATTACCACAATACCGGAAACATAATCAGGGCGAATTTGGGATTCCAGGCTACGATAATCTGATGTAAGTGGTAACATTTGTAAATGCAGAAATAACGAGATGTGTACCCAGAACATTTGGGGAAAAAAGGTAGTGGGATAGAAAGAAAAAGGGTAATGTTTAGAGATATCAAGAAAAGCCGATCTAGAACGGACAGAGTGAGCGAGTTCAAATTCAACCCTGCATCACCAGTGCTTCAGACAAAAAGCAAAGAGAACTAATGAATGAAAACAAACACAAGTACAACACGGGCAACTAATATAGAGATAACACAACAGGGAATAAGATGGTCAGGGAAATGTGTGAATTTAATATTCTTTAAATATACTTTAAGCTGATTGTGACAACTCACGCTGTGAACACAATAATGTGGTCATTGTCAGGGAATCCTGGTGTGTCAGCCTTCCATTGCCTTGTGCCACTGAGAAGTTTATCACCATCTATCTTCGTTTCATTAACTACAGCACTTTGGAACGGTCGTGGTAACTGCACATCCTAAAATGGTATATGGAGTAAAATGATACATACAAAATAATGATGCATGGAGTACAACGATACATACAAAATAATGATACATGAAGTATCATGATACATACATAATATTGATACACGGAATACCATGATACATACAAAATAATGATACATGGAGTACCATGATACATACATAATAAGGATACACTGAGTACCATGTGACATACATAATAATGATACACGGAATACCATGATACATACAAAATAATGATACATGGAGTACCATGATACATACATAATAATGATACGAGGAATACCATGATACATACATAATAATGATACATGGAGTACCATGATACACACATAATAATGATACATGGAGTACCATGATACATACATAATAATGATACATGGAGCACCATGATACATACATAATAATGATATATGGAGCACCATGATACATAAAAAATAATGATACATGGAGTACCAAGATACATACAAAATAATGATACATGGAGTACCATGATACACACATAATAATGATACATGGAGCACCATGATACATACATAATAATGATACACGGAGTACCATGATACATACATAATAATGATACATGGAGTACCATGATACATACAGAATAATGATACATGGAGCACCATGATACATACATAATAATGATACATGGAGTACCATGATACATACAAAATAATGATACAGGGAGCACCATGATACATACATAATAATGATAAATGGAGTACCATGATACATACATAATAATGATACATGGAGTTCCATGATACATACACAATAATGATACACAGAGTACCATGATACATACATACTAATGATACATGGAGTACCTAGAGACATACATGTATAACAAAACGATACATAGTGGAAGGTTACATGTCTTAAATTAGTGATTGAAGTTGTTTATATCAAACAGAAATCCTAGGCTCACATATTGGAGTGAATCAGATTGTTTAATTATTAACGATAATATCAATATTGTCTTATCATAACCATGTTTTTGGAAATTTAGTAATCCTGTGTTTGTTGTTATTGTGCTTTTGAAAATGGTTTATCTAGCTACTTTCTTTGGGGTAAATCTACCGTCATAGCTAAGCTGAATTGTGTTTGGTACATATGAACTGTGATGATAGGTGATGTCAACATAATACCTTCACACAAGGTAAACTTAGTGTCACCTATACAGTGACGCTATCAGATATCACCATCAATACAGCGTAAAATTAAAAAGTTGTTACTTATAATATAACACGTCAGTGTTTGTTTACTTAACACCCCTGGAGGCAAACATCTTACCTCAATGATATATCCTACCAGGTTTATGTTGTACAGAGGGGACGCCTTCTTATAACGGAGATCTACCTGTTATGGAAAGGGAAATAGTATGTTAAGGTTACTTAACAGGAAAAATGATAATAAGATCATGACAACATCTAAACTCGTCAATTTGTATCCAAACTAACCCATATTATCACGTAGCGATCTATGCTAAACTGTTAAATTTACTTAATGATTTTTTTAATTGACAAAATATAAAGTAGACACAATTTATGGATAACAGCTTCTTTAATACTGTAAAGGCTATGTTCGGTATAGATCCTTTTACCGTTGTGAAGCAAGACTGACAACAACCATTTGCTCGCCAGGATCTATACCGAAACGTCGCCTTTACAGTATTCAAGAAGTTGTTACTAGTAGAAACCTCACCCCGTTTACAAGATGTGCAAAGTGTCTTTTGATGCCTTGTTTTGTCTCCTGGTGCTTCAAGGCTTCGGACAGCTGGGTTGCTCTGGAATACCATCTGTCACATACAACGGAATCAACTACCAGAAAATGCGTTGACAAGATAAAATCTCCCATGGTACACAATACAAAGGATTTATTTGCAGGGATTGAATGGCAAATGTATTTATTATGTCAGAGATATTAATATCTTGCTAGGTAAGACACATTGCAGTATGAGATTATTGATTGGTTTAACTGTGTTGTGAGGTAAAAGACAAGTACCTTTCATAAACAGAGAACGCTATCACCGTAATAACGTCCACGTAGATTGGCTCCTGAATCTGGCGCTTCTTCCTCAAGGATTCTGATGCCATCATCTCAATGTCACTTCCTGACTGACCCTTCTCGCCATCATCTGAATAAAATACACACATGTCCATGTGACATTTACTCATGTTATTTGTAACCTCTACGTTAACCATTTCTTATTTCTGTTTCTTGATAATGTGCAAAACAACTTACTATCGGTTATCATGCCAAAATATTATTGATTGTTTCGAACCAGTCTTGCATTCGCGTATCTCTACAAATATAACCTTGAAAAAACCTGCATCTCTACAGATTTAACCTTGAAAAAACGTCCCTCTCCATTTTCTTTACTTGCTCGTGTCATAGTCGACACAACCATTTGATAATGTCAGATAACTTTACTGTCACAACGGACCGACCATTATATATTTGGGTGCAGCCGGGATTTTTCTGTGACAAAACATACAATATTCTGAAAGGAAGAGCGAAAGAAATTATTTTTAGAACATCCAACGGAGGATTTCTTTGTTTCCGTTAAACCGACGAACACCTTACCATCATTATCTATTGGTCGAATGTGTACTGGGGAAGAAGTAAGTGTGTATTTGATATCACTGGAAGCTGATTCTGTTCCTGTCGGCTTCAGCTCATACATACTTGGTCCATTGAGCAAGAGAAATCCTTCCTGGTGTATAAACAACAATTGTAATTTGCATCTGTTTCATTATTTCCGTGTTGAATTACATTTCATAGACTCAAAATATATATCTGTTAAGACTATTTTTATGACCTTACAATACAGCTACTTTGGTGAACTTTCAAAGGATGGAACAATCTGTGGCTCGCACAATAATTCTAATCCTTGTGTTCGAAATGTCCGCCTCAATCGCGAATGATATATATGAACGAATTGTAGCACATGTAAACGAAATGCATTTTATATGAGGCGTCACGTTCATGAAGACATAAACCTGTTCTACTTAAAAGGTATTATTTAAATTGATAGCGAACTCCTTCTGGAGACATTTCCTTCTGGTTTCCATCTAAAAGGAACTTGATGTATAGAACAATCTGTACAATCGACACAGGCGTTGTTCTGTTGATCTTAATTGATTATGGGTACATCATACAGATTATATCAATTGCCATTCAACATTATCATATTAGTTTGAAAAGTGGTGACACATACAAATGCATAATACGGTTGGTTCTCCTCCTTAATAACGCAGGTAACCTCGATGTTAGCCATGTGAATCACATCCTGGTATTCGGCTGTTCCCTGAAAGAAAATTAAAAGGTATGTTGTAATAATTACAACAGGAAATGACATTCTTTATGAATAGGAGAGTGTCGTTTTTGAATTGTGCTAATGCCTATCTAACCCTTATGCATATCAGGTTAATATGAGCTTTATGACATATATTTTCCAAAGTTAACAAGTGACGTATTTGCAGATATAGGTGCGACACTTCTTTCTTTGCTTTTTGAAACGCCGGTATGTATCACGGACGGTTGTTTCCTTGAAGATTAAATATTCTTGTGCTAATAAACAAGACAGAAATAAACATGGTTAAGATTGTAAAACATTTTTTGTTTTATTTTGTTTGTTGTTTTACGCCGGACTCAATATTTCAGCCATATTTCAGTGTTTTTTAAATATTCTCGTCTGGACAAGACAATCCAATGATAGACATTAAGAACATCGTGATACGCAATTGCTTTGTTTGTTTGCTTGTTGTTCAACGCCCCACCCAGAACTATTCCAGATATATGACGGCGGTTTGTAAATAATCGAGTCTGGACCAGACAATCCAGTGTTTGTCATCACGAGGATCGATCCACGCAATTGGAATACCATCAACCAAGTCAGCAAGCCTGACCACCAGATCCCGTTAGTCGCCTCTTACAACAAGCAAGGTCGCCTTTTACAGCAAGAATGATTCCCGAAGACCCATTCTACCACGGATCTTCACGCGTCAAATGTTTTTGAGAAGGGTAAAGTAAATTTCTATCTTTCTAAGATAAAAGTGAAAAATGATTTTATCAATTTTGAAAATGAAATATGCAAATGATATTTTGACAATTGAATACACACCCCACCCTATAGATAATGTAAAAATACATTTTGACTTCGTTAAATGTCAAGAATGATTATTGCATCGATAAAAGTCTCACAAACAGTTCTGGGTTAGTTTCTTGTATTTTCTACACCCGTACATGCCCTTTTGCTAATATGCGTAAACGATCTCTGTAAAAATTGATATCATGAATATTTACCATACTACATACGTTCTCATCTAATCTACATTATAACAACTCTTGCAACAAATACTGAGTTATGACAGCATTATTACCTCCATCTCCAACACTGTATCTCTGACGATGATTGGGTTCCCCTTCTCATCCTGTCTAGATACATATATGGGGGTTGTTTTCTTCACTGACGTGCTGGTCTCCAACTGAAGAGTGACGGAGTCATTGTGTGTCCTTACACGCACTGTGAACTCCCTGGGGAGAGTACAGTCTCTCAACCCTTGATTTGGCTTTAGAATGTCAACGATAGCTCCTATACCTAGAAGGAAGAACGATATATGTCAGATATTTCATTCCAAATGAAGGTTGTATTCTCAAATATAATTCTTCACAGATAATTCCAGCTTGGTAAGTGGTCTAATGAAGTATGTGGTATAAGAGCACTTTGGAAATAGAAAAAAATGCTATAACAACAATGCAACCACTGAAGTGTTAAATACTATCAATAATAATCCAAAATTAACGCAGTAAAATAAACATATTCATGTATACCATTTCAAAAGTTATATTTAATGCATGTTACCTGTCATCTTCCAAGCTAAAACAAGAAGTTAATTAAGTTTATCCGCTAAGTAAAAGATATAATACGAGGATAAATTAATTTATTAGCGGCATGAAATATTGATGGGCCCTAAGAGTTACCTCCCTTTGGTAACATTGACTATATATATACAGATTCAAGTCGCGTGTTGTCTCTTCTTGCCGATGTTTTCAGAACGCTATGTGCAGTTAAATGTAACCAACGGCTCGCCAATCAACAGTATGCCACGAGGCAAGAAGCTACAGAAAAGAAAGGCGAAGGAAGACGGCCGAAAGCGTCAACGAGATGAGACAGAGGGGACAGACAACGCAACACGGATGACGCAGAACACTGACGGGACAGGGACCACAGGTGGCTACAAGAGATTGAAAATGGCAGCTGACAAGACCAAAAAGGAGCTAAAATCAGGTGAGGCGGTTTCTGTTTCAACCTTTCCATCAATCAACATAAACCATGAACAGGGTGGTCAGTCGAGTGGCCTAACTAGTTCAGAAATTGCTGAAGATATGAACGATACCCCCATTATTTGGTGTGTTGAAGACAAGATAAGCGACCCATTGCCACAATCACTGAAAGAAAAAATCTGGAATTATCATTATTATTCTGAAGACAACCCAACCAGGATTTGTTTAATCACAGCATATTGGGATGGTAACATTGGTTGGTTCTTTTGTTGTTTAATGCGGCACTCAGCAATATTCCAGCTATATGACGGCGGTCTGTTAATAATCGAGTCTGGCGAGACAATCCAGTAATTAATATCATGAGCATCCATCCACGCAATTGGGATCGATGACATGCATCAACAAAGTCAGCGAGCCTGACCACCCGATCCCGTTAGTCTCCTCTTACGACAAACATAGTCGCCTTTTACGGCAAGCATGGGTTACTGAAGACCTATTCTATCCCGGATCTGATGGTAACAATGAATGGTAGGGGTGGTATTGAGGTTATGAAAAAATCTTCAGCCAGCATTGTCTACATGCTTCCTTATTTACATGATCGTTTCCCTAAAAAGATTCCCAGAAAAGCACCAACAGTAGATTAAGTATATGAATACCAGGTAGGCAGGACAAAAAATATGATGGTATAGGTTGGAGATCATATGATCAACATTTTAGAATTAGACAGGCACGCGATCCCAGCAATTCATGGGCAAGAATCTATCCAGATTATTGGCTGATGTTCAAGAACAACCACTCCAAACAGAGTATGCGGACCATATCACCCCAGTCCAACATGCAGGGCCGTCGCCCATGGCCATGTTATGATTACAACTACTGGAGCTGTAGCAGACAAAATTGCAAGTATTCCCATTCTTGTATTCAGTGTACCAAACTTTATCCCATGAAATCCTGCAGATTTCGAACAAACCAAAATAAGCCAAAAGTTTCAGCTTTCCATTGAAGGTTTCTCACCCATTAAGACTAGTGTATTGAGAATTTTGCTCGAAAGGTATCCGGATCAGGATCAGGCAGCGGCAGCAGAATTAATAGAAGGCTCACACAGGGTTTTGTTTTGAACTATAGTGGTCCTCGTAAGGAAACAGAATCTCCTTACCTAAATTCTGCAGAAGGAAACACTGCGGTCACTCATGATAAACTTAATAAAGAAATAAAAGCAGGGAGAATGTTAGGTCCGTTCCAGTATCGACCAATACCTACTCGTAATCTCAGGATATCACCGATAGGTATTGTACCTAAAAAAGAACCAGGTCAGTTTCGAATAATACACCATTTATCCTGTCAGATAGGCTCATCAGTTAATGATCACATTGAAGAGAAGTCAGCATGAGTAAAATATACTAGTTTTGACAGTGCAGTTGAAATAGTTCAAACTTTAGGTAAAAGCTGCCAGTTAGCAAAGTCTGACATAAAGAGCGCTTTTAGACTTTGTCCTATTAATCATTCAGACTTAGGAATAAAATTCAAGCAACAGTATTATGTGTATATGTGCCTACCCATGGGATGCAAGGTAAGTTGTGCTCTCTTTGAAAAGTTTGCATCTTTTCTTCAATGGGCTGTCCAACAATCAATTCAAGCTGGAGATGTTTTACATTACCTGGATGACTTTCTGTTTGGAGGTGAGATGAATACAAATGAATGCAGCATAGCACTAGATACTTTTATGAATCTTTGTGAAGACTTGGGGGTCCCTGTAGCACATGAAAAAACAGTACAACCTTGTACAAAGATCACCTTTTTGGGCCTAGAAATTGACTTAGAGGAGATGTTGGTCAGGATTCCTCCAGATAAAATTGCCAAGTGTCTGGATCTACTCTCGTAATTAATGGGAAAACGCAAAAATCACTTTGGAAAGGATGCAGTCTCTCATTGGAACCTTAAATTGTCTATGCAGAGCTATCCCTATGGGATGTCCTTTCTCTAGAAGAATGATTGACTCCACGAAGTATGTTCACAACCACATGACAGGATTCGCATTACTAAGGAGATCAAACTGGATTTATCAACATGGTTCTTCTTCTTCAGAAACAACAAAGGCATATCTGTATTTCAAAATAGGTTATGGATGGATAATGATCAGATTCAATTGTACACCGATAGTGCAGGTGCAGAAGACATGGTATTTGGGATATATTTCAACGGAAGATGGGTATCAGAAAAGTGGCCAAAGGAATGGATTGAAGCTGGTTTCCTTTCTGACATTACATTTTTAGAACTATTTCCAATAATCATTGCAGTAAACCTGCAAGGTCATCACCTCCAACACAAGAAGGTTGTTTTCAACACTGACAATCAAGCGGTTGTGACCATTTTGAAAAAATTATCTGCAAAGTCACCGCGGGTTATGGTACTCGTAAGAGCATTAGTTCTCAGCTGTTTGGAAGTTAATCTTATGGTAAGAGGCAAATACATCCCAGGTAAGCTCAACACAATAGCAGACGCGTTGTCTCGATCTGAATTTCAGAGGTTTCGTCAGTTGGCACCAGGTGCGGACTCAGAGTCAACACAGATACCAACTTCAATTTGGAATCTGATACTGAAGCTGAAAGTCTACTAGACCATTCAATCGCAGAGAATACTAGGAAAGCATTTAAATCTGCAGTAAATCAATTTGAGATGTTCAGATCACAAGTAGGTCTTCCAGCCACATGGCCAGCCCCCTTACAGCATTTAGTAAGATATTTAGGTTACTTGTCACTAAAACAGGCATCGCCAGCTACAGCTGCACAACATTTGTCAGGATTGGGCAGACAACATAAATTACTTGGCTTTCCTGACCTGATGAAAAAGAGAAAATGAGAAAAATGCTGAAAGGTATGAGGAACATGTCTTCCATGGATGATAGCAGGGCCCCAATTACCCTTTGTTTGCTTGAGAAACTTATGCACGGTTTGCAGCATGTCTGCTCATCACGCTATGAAGCATGCTTGTTCAAGGCCATGTTCTCGCTTACATTTTATGGATTTCTCTGGGTAAGTGAGGTCACACCATCTGGATCAAAACATGAGAGCAGATAACTGTTTGGTGATGCCACAGCCCTAGATGACGATATTACTCAACTGTTTCTTCACTACAGTACTAGTCCAGTGACTCAGTTTCAATTCAGGGCTGTACATGCTAAGGCTCTTAGATTTATTGGCTGTTGTACATCATAATACAAATCACAGTCATTTCGCATTGGTGCAGCCACAACTGCTGCCATTCAAGGCATCCCAGAGCAAACAATCCTGGAGTGGGGCCGGTCAAATGCCTTTAAATCATATATTAGAATCAACTTGGCTTAATTCAGTATCTCGTCATCAAATTCTTCATATGTTTACAGAAATTTGGATAGTCGGCTCATCGATTGTGTACTGGGCTCACAGAAGGGCAGTTGGACGACCAATATGTTTACATCTGTCTTTGGAAAAACCTGGCGGAGGGATAACTTGGCTTGGGTAAAGGGGGATGAAGTGGCAACAACTAATCCCATATCTCAGATGAAAGATCCAGAGGTCGCCACCCCCAAAATACTTGTTATACAGTTGGGGTCCAATGACCTTGTCGATAGAAGTGGTAAACAGTTATGCTCTGTTATAGAGGCGGATATTCAAGCTATCACTAAGCTTATGCCCCAAACCAAGTTAATGTGGTCAGAGATGCTTCCTAGACAACACTGGCGTGGGGCCAAGAATAATGCTGCTATTGAGCATAAGAGCAAAAGGGTCAATTGGTTTGCGGCTGTGGCTGTTTGTAGCCGAGCGGGTATTATGGTTAAACATGACATAACAAGTCAAATATCTGGCATGTACCGTGACCCGGTGTATGATAGGATCCACCTCTCTGATTTGGGTAATGACATTTATTTAACAATTTTGCAAGACAGCATTGAAAATGCTTTGAATACCATTCATATGTTCGCTCTCTAGCTTATTAATCCCAAACATCTGGTGGCTTGCTGGCAATGGTACATTTGGTGGGGCATTCTTGCATAGACAAGAAGTGGTGGCGGGGAATCTGGGGGCAAAATGCTTTTAGCTTGTTGTTATTGCATTGAGTAATGCATACCCTACCTGTTAACTACTCTCAGTATCACCAGTCAGTGTGATACTCCAACTGGTAATGCTTTGATTTGTATGTGCGTACACTGCTTGTGTACTAGGTTTTTGCTGCGGTGCTTCAGGAGGCGCTATCGATGTGAATGTTGATATCCTCGTAGGTGTGTGCTTCCTTTGCTTTGCTTGGGTTGCCCAGGTACCTTCGGGTAGGCACCCACTATAGCTTTTAGGTCCCTAGGCTCCCAGCTACTGTCCAATTTGAAATATACTGCGCCCATTTATTCCCACCAAACTGTTGTTTTTGTTTTACTTTCTGAGAGTTAGCATAATAACCCTGAAATCTAATCGTAAAAGAATTCAGTGTGAAACCAAGAAATGGTATAAATTAACTAGGTGTCTAATCAATGGAAATTATTGCAAAGTATTGCAATGGCAGTTTACAATATAGTGGCAGTACAACATTCAATGGCAGTTCAATTACAATGGAAGCATGACACATAATAGTGACAATAATATTCACCTAGCAATAACAATGGTCAATGAGGCCTAGGCTCTATGTCCAGGGTCAAAACGTCATCGTTACACAACCGCTGGGCGTGATGTAATGGGAAATGCGTGAGGCACCGGCTTGCCGCTTTGTATATAGTCTAAATATGTTCTAGAAGGTTCTGTACAGTGCTGGACTAGTCTAGCTGTTCCAGAAGATTCTATATTACACTTGACTCCAAAGGACATCCAAATAGAGTAACTTCTACACCACTGATATCGCTAGAAAGTACTGCATTCCTAACAACTACTTGTTGTCAAAACACTATGCTATCAACTTCCACTGAATCTCCACAGAAACAATGAAAAACAATTACAACAGATTCAACACTTAATGACACTGCCCCATAACACTCTCCCCTTTCAGGGAAAGAAGGTTTGAACATAGCGATAACTTTCTTTGCTAAATAAAGTGCAAAAACATTGGACATGATAATTATGATATTTTACAAAAATGCAAAATCATGTTTGCAGTCAAAACTGATCACATTCTGCCAACTGCACCAGCAATAATGTTGTCTTTGCCTTTAAAATCCTTACTGTCTAATGAAGACCCTGCAAAGACACGGCTCCAGTGCATCAGGCGATTTACTGTCAGTCTGAAATCTTTTTCAAAATCCTTCTCAGTTTCAAGACAGTAAGTCCTTGTCATATTCTTAAGAGTCTCTCAGAAGCTCTGTGAAATTCAGGATTATATGATCTAGACTTAACCTGGATTTGCCTAACTGCTGCTGGAAAATACATGACATGAAAATTAGAGCCATGATTTGACTGAATAATCCTGGACAAACAAACCTCAGTGAAGACCTTTACCAAAGCCTTGAACGATAACCTTAGCCATAACTCTCCGTAAAGGAATAGCCTCTGGAAACCTTGTGGAAGCACACATGATAGTAAGCATGTAATTATTCTCATCTGACCTAGGTTTAGGCAACGAACCAACACAATCAATAATGACAATTCTGAAAGGTTCTTCAAAGTTTGAGTTTCAAAGGTGCGGTTGGGATTTTCGGATTAGGTTTGCCAACTTTTTTTTACATAAATGGCATGTTCAACCACATCATGCCGCAAATTAGGTCAAAACAAATGGGATAAAATTTTGTTCACATCCAAATGACCTGTCAAACGAGTTTTTATGTGTCTAACACAAAACATGTTTTTTATATGAATTTGGAAGAACAATTTGAGGAAAAGGTTTCCATTTATTATTAGCAGGAACATCTGGCGGATTTCATTTCCTCATAGAAAACTCATTTTTTGAATGATAGCTAGCTGACACAAACCAATTACCAACAAAAGGTAACTACCCCTCTCACTACTGGTATACAAAAAGCTAACTCCTCTTTATCCGAACCTCGCAAGGCTGTGATCTGTTATTTACAAAAGCATTACGAGAAGAAGCCAGCTCTTTACCTTCGGAATTAATATACCCTGACTTACGACAATATCTACATGTAGGCTCAGGCGAAAATCTAAAAGTATTTTTAAAACGAACTGGAGTAGATTTATCAATAACTATACACAGTGACCCGGGCATGTTCTTGGACCATACAGAATCAACCTGGTGCAAGTTCCAGGCCACAAGAGTAACGCCGCATCAGCAATCTTTCATCTATTCGCGTCGAGAAAATGTATAATCTGACCATATGTGAAGTCACAAGACTAAAAGCGTGTGGCTGTATGTCATTAATATTTGGCAAATGTAAAATGATTCACAGAAACATTAACTTTACTTTACGCCCATCACATATGGACATTAACAATATTTACAATAGATGAAGTTATGTTCTTTGTAAATACGTCACGTGTACTTAACGCTGAATGACATCTGAAGTTGAGAGGTATGAGGAGTACTTTACTTTTGCCCTGATGTATAATCGTGGAGTCAGTCTACTCATAATATTAAATGTAGTCAACCGATGCGAATATTAATCACACTTTGCAAAATCCAACATATAATAAACGCAGTTTGCTGTTGATAAAACATTCACATCAACAGGAACACTTATGTGAAATGTAATACAATGAAGTCATGAAATAACATGTAAATTCTGTAACTTATAAAATGTAAATGTTGATTATCCGCCGAAGAAGAATCCATTGGGCGTAAAGGACAACATAGATGTGAAAATTATAATAATGGACCACTAGAAATAAGTGATGATCCCTGGAATTCGAAAAACGGGTGAGCATGACCTGCTCGATTGGTAGCACCCGTCAATCACACAATTTTCATAAAAATAGTAAGTATTTATTGCCTGACGCCGCAAAACCGTTCTCTTGCCATGCGACGGCTAACTATGAAGATCCGGGATAGAATAGGTCTTGAGCAGCCCATGCTTGTTGTAAAAAGCGACTATGCTTGTCGTAAGAGGCAACTAATGGGATCGGGTGGTCAGGCCCGCTGACTTGGTTGATGCATTTCATCGATCCCAATTACGTGGATCGATGCCTATGCTATTAATCACTGGATTGTCTGGTCCAGACTCGATTATTTACAGACCGCCATCATACAGCTGGAATATTGCTGAGTGCGGCATTAAACAACAAACCAACCAACCATGCGACGGTGGCCTGTAAACAAACGAGACACTTCATCATGACATTGTATTCAACAAGGACAAAGTGTAGGTAGCTGATAACCATGATGTCTGCTGGTATGTAGAAGCTAATATGTCAATTTCATGCACGTACATACAAATATGATTAAACATTAAAGTTTGCTCAAACCCCATGTGAAGTGTAATGAGGTATAGTTTTGCCCTCATATTTAAAAGTTAAAGTACGTAGAAGCTTACATACGAGTTCTTTGACGTAATATTAGTTCAAGGCAAAACACACCTTATCACACTGGTTTTGTCTAATCCAGCCTTGATTACAGGCAACCGTCATTTTGCCATCTGTGGTGTTAACAAATCCATATCTATACTTGTTGACACCCTGGCTGGCACTCGGCATTAAGGGGATAAAACATGGACTGGTTGGCTCGGAGTTTGAGTGAGTTATCCATGTTAAACTGTGGCATGGTATTTCCGTAGGCTAGCACTGGAACAAACCACCACATGCATACGCGTGCATGTGCGTTGCTATACACTCTGAGTGTAATAATCTTGAAATCGACGTTAAACCCATTCTACCTCATATCACTGAAACACTGACATAATAAATGAATCAGATAAAACCAAAATACCTGACCGTGAGATTCTATGAGAGCTTGTTATCAAGCAAGTGTTTCACCTGACTAAATGCTTGATAACGGTGTTAGAACCTACACCAAAACGTCGCTCCTAATTGTATTAAAGAAGTCGTTCATCCATATATCTTATCCTTACTTACTGACCATGAGAGATTGTATGAATGATATTTGGGGTGTGTATTAAAACCGCGAAATACCAAATGGATGCAATAGACATATCTGACAGTGAAAGACCATATAAATGACATCTGGGATAACTTACGAGTGACGGGTGCCACAAGTGGGACAGGATACGCTGACTTTAAACACATGTTTCTGATAAAGTCTGATATCGTACAATGCAATTTGCCTGCCGTTGAAATTTCTTATGTTTTATGGAACGTTTTGTGCGGCGTTTATTTGCCATCAAATGGAGATAATTAAAAAAAAGTATATCTTAATGGGCATCAGTAAACCCTTCTTTACACATTAGCTTAAACGCAAAAACTATATCCCAATATATTGGCATGCCATAGGTTACTAAACGTAAACGACATGTTTCATAATATATGTTTGTACTCACTGTCTTGGCACAATCCAAACTGGCTTAACGTTAGCAGAATAAGAATCTTCATTTTCTCAAAATCCTTTTTCGGGTCAGACTGCATTTCAACATTCAACCAGGATGTATTCTTGAAATCGGTTAGCAAATTTCCTCCACTAAGCGACAGCGTAGCGTTTACTTTGTACTCTTCTCATGATCAGTCATGACTTGAAATTTATATCCTTGCTGAGATTCAAATGTATCCATAGAGAAAGTCTTTTGATATTGCCCTTGCGACTATGTTTGTTTGATAGCGTCACAATATGAATATGTCACGTGCTTGTGTCGCCCAATACTGGCTCCTAAAGTGATATGCACAGAAGGGACACGGATGTAAATTTTTTATCCTGGTTTAGATTGAAATGAATACAAAGAGAGCATTTGTTAACATTGCCATTGCGACTATGGAGTATTGTACTTAATGTTTGTTTTGTAGCGTCACGTGGTTGATTCTTTACGAACCGCTCACTTGTTACTTTCCTCACTGAACTCACTAAGAAAACACTTCCTCTTTTCTGCATAAGGAAAAGGTCTCACTCTCTCAGGAAACGCGTTCTCCTTTTTGGGTGGGCGGTGGTGCATGTAGGTCACACAAAAGGTAACCGTCATCCTGTAACTCGTAACGAAGCTAGCTCATCCATGCTTCTATTTAGTAATATGATGAGACTTTTCACGCATGTCTCCTGGTGTGATTGTGTAAATAGAAGCGACAAAACCCATTTTTTGCATTTTTAAGGCCATGCAACATGTGAAGGGCGGTCGGGTAGCCTAGTGGTTAAAGCGTTCGCTCGTCACACCGAAGACCCGGGTTAGATTCCTGACATGGGTACAATGTGTGATGCCCATTTCTGGTGTCCCCCGCCGTAATATTACTGGAATATTGCTAAAAGCGGCCACTCGGTCACCCACTCTTATAGTGGGCGTATACATTTACCATGCATAAGGGGAAGTTCTTAGATTTGTTAATATTTTGTGTATTTAGTCCAAACATGCTACATCCAAGTTAACTACGGATATACTTTGCAATGCATTCTGTATTTCAAGCCAATCGGTTTCTTTATCCTGCAATATGTATGTGCCATCGGCTCTGCTTTACTTTTTGATACCATTCCAGTTACTGACCATGAATGCCATATGCTACTCCTACTCATCACACTGGGACGCCGTAGACATTTATCAGTCGCACGAGGTATCATTTACAAAATCATGAGTCATGAATATAAAGTTATATTTAAAAGCAAATTTGAAAAACTTATTTTGGCATACCAATATTATGTACAACTGTTGAAATCACGGGCTATAAGCCACCAGCAACCGAAGCTAGGCCAGCCCCCTGGGGATCATCGGGACTTACGGTGGCACAGCTTCCTGCACGACAACCCAGCAGGATTAACGTCATCACTTTAGCCACTGGTGGCTGGGAACAATACCAGCCAATATAAAATACATGCTTGAAACACTGGTTGATGATAGTTACATTGATTATGACAGGAATTACCTGTCACATTACAAAGAGGGCAATTGTTGATAAAAGTAAAACACCAAATTAAGAAGATCAATCCATTAGTTATTCACATACACAAGCTTTAGGATACAAGACATTTTTTTGGAGTACCTTGGGATGAGATGCCTGCTAACACTAAAACACGGGCCTTAGGCCACCGATAACCTGGGCTAGGCCACCTCGCTGGGGACTTCAGCGGTACCTCAGCTTAATGCACGATATCCCAGCAGGATTTAATCATCACTTTATTGATGTGTGCACAATACTAGCCAATATTAGAATATACTCAGCAATAAGTTGGCTTAAAGCACTAGTTGATGATAGTTACATCGACTGTGATAGGATTACAGGGGGGACAATAATTTTACGGTACTTTAACCTCCTAGACAGAGCCTTCAATAATGTCACTTGGTAAAACCATCACCTCAAATTTAAAAACAAGGTATTAGTTATTTATTCACATATTTCAAATTTATGATACCGACCACTTTCTTTCAAGTAGCTGAGAGAGAATGAGATGCCCGCTTACACGTGAGAAGAGATCTTTTAGATTTTCTGTTTGATAATGTGAATCCCTTGGGATTGCAAAGTCCACACAATCAATATGTGCTTGAATGTGAACCTTTCATCACAGGAGATACACTTAGGAGGTTCGCCCTCATCTGTTATTTGTGGTAGATACTCATGGGTAAATCGACTGTGGCCAATACGACATCTTCTTGATTGACAACCCATGTAGGTATCGCCGATTATTGGTTTAAATTAGTGACGTTTATTGCCTCCTACCTGGGTGTCCCACCTCATTTGCATGAGATCCCGTGTATAACTCTTGATAGTTGGTTCGAAATCACTGTTCGGTATAAGTAGTGGAGATAGTGGTTTGTCAAGAGCTGCTTTAGCTTCGGCATCGGGTGTCGAGGTACCTGCTATGCCTTCATTACTTGGTAACCAGCAAAAGACGATGTCACGTTGGCCAGTAGAAATATCATTATAAAGTTGTAAACTGTCTTGAATAAAAGGGTGGTTTGCGGGGAGGGCCTGAAGGCAAGACAGGGAATCTGAGAAGATGATGAAATTTGTTGAGATTGCTTTGGCCTCAGCAGTGAAGCATGAACTATTATCTGGGATACTTGAGGAGACAGTTCTGGATCCAATGATGGTTGCACTTTCAACTTTGCCACCATCCTTAGACTCGTCTGTAAAAATGTGAGAATTGTATGTTGTCCGCATTTGGTTATATACGTGTTGATAACCAACGGATTTGTTTAATATTTTTTTATGTTTATTTTTCTTTTCTTTTTTGAGAGTAAGTTCTACCTCTGGCTTCACCATCTGCCAGGGAGGAGAAGACAGTAGACGGTAAGGAGAAATAATTTTGTGCAGTAATGTGTGGTTGAATTCTGATTCCAAGTGTGGGACCAGATTTGACAAATATAGGAGCAGATTTTCATATTGAGGGTCGAAAACACAATTGAATGCTGGATGTGATTTATTTGAATGCAATTTAGTGATGAATTGCAGTGACAGTTTAATGTGGCGTTGTTCGTGGGGAGGTTCATCAGCCTCCACATACAAACTTCCACAGGAGCTCCAAGACAGTGTCTTAGGCCGTGGTGGTGTATAGAGTCTAATTTTCCAAGTTGCGTTTGAAGGCTCCACCATAGACAATATAACCATAATCTAGTTTGGAGCGTATCAATGACCTGTATGATTAGAGGAGAGTTGTCTGACCCTCTTTCCAATCGTAACGATCAAATATTAGGCCTAGGAATTTGGCCTCATCTACTGCCTTAATAGTAGTACCATCTTAAGTAATTCTAGATCCTTGTGCGGTTTGTATTTACGACCAAAAAAAATGCAGTTTGGTATGGATTGAGAAAACGTCAAACCGTTTTCGTTGGCCCATATTTGAAATTTGCAAACACATAGTTGTAGTTGTCTTTCTCTGCATATCCTTACCACGGCATGAAATGCTGAAATCATCCACAAAAGGTGACCCATCAACACAAGCGTTCAATACTTTAGTGAGACTATGAAGTTTGATGCTAAAAAGTTTGACAGATCGGATGCTGCCTTGAGCGACGCACTCATCTTGATCGAAATGATCACACAGGGCAGAGCCCACTCGTATCTGAAATGGTTTGTTTGTTGATAATGGATTTTTTTATAAATGATTCTAAACGCACCAAATAATAAATGGTACTTCTGTTTTTTTAACCCACACTGGATGTTACTCAGGAGATTATTGGTCTCCAAGTACCAGACTAATCGATTGTTGACCATGTGCTCCATGGTTTTACAATCACTGCTAGTTAATAATATGTAACGGTAATTGGGTGGATCAGTATGATCCCAGGCATGCTTGGGTATTGGAATGATAATGGCATTATGCCCCAAAGGCGGAAAATTTCCAGTTGTCCATATTTCAACAAATATGTTAAGTAGTGTTTCCAAATTTGAATCGGGCAAGTGTTTCAGGAGCTGATAATGAATGTTGTCGGTTCCTGCTGCAAACCTCCTTGTTTCAACTCCAGGATCCGCCACTGTACTCTGAGCTAGACAGGATATTGCTGAAGAGCAGATTTTCCTTATGCGAGCCAGCTTGGTTTATCGCCGCTTCACATATTGTAAACACATGTTCATGATATATTCGAAATCGAGCAAAGGACTATGTTTTTTTGCAGTGATTTCTTGAATATGGAAAGGGTTTTGTCACTTTTGTTTAAGAACCGCCATATTGCACTTCTCTTTCCACATTCGGTAGCCGTTGATTACATATTTACTCATTGTCAAGCCAAATCTTATTGCATACAATTACTTAATCTTTTTCCCTCCACGTCCGCTCTGCACTTCAAGTGACTGAGTGAGCAGTTTTTCGCTGCTTTGAACATCATTTCAGTTTTATAACAGAGACGTTGAGAAAACCCCAAAGTATATAACCCAGGTGCATGTGCCAATTTAGGCCTATAGTATTACCGCCTCCGTGGTCTAGTGGTAGAGTGTCCGCCCGGAGAGCGGAAGGTCCAGGATTCGATCCCCGGCCGCGTCATACCAAAAGATGTTAAAAGATGGTACTTGTTATTTTCCCTGTCTGGCGCTCGGCATTAAGGGATTAAAACAAGGACCGGTCGGCTCAGAGACAGTATACAGAGTATACTGAGTGGGGTAGTCATGTTAAAACTGCGGCATGGTATCTCAGTGAGCTAGCACTATAAATCAGCATCAGTCCGGACTAGTACATGCAGCCACACACACACACACACACACACACACACACACACACACACACACACACACACACACACACACACACACACACACACGCGTCGCTATATAAGTGCAATAATCTTATTAAACCCAAATTCACCTCACCTCACCTCCAGTATTTTGAACACAAACATAATAAACATTACCCTTGTGATTAAATTAACGTGAACAATATTTGATTTTTTTAAACTTAGCGAATTTCACTGTCCACAGAGACACTAACATGTTAGTAGACGTTACTAACCAGTTCGTAAATATTTGCAAATTGGTTAGTAAGTTGCCTATCCAGATAAGTAGTTTACTAATAAGTTGGTAGAGATTACGGCCCATCTTTCACAGAACTACTGTTATACAGTGATAGCTTTTTTATGTGTTTGGAGATATTTTACCTGGGCTTCAATTAATTAATACTATTCATTGTTGTAGTATTAACCCAGTCTATATCCAATTTTTCTGAAATTCCACTTTTGTTAGATCCAAGGTGTCAGCCACCGTGTGGAGCACATGTGATGATCCTGATCCGAGTGAACCAGATTTTTGAGCCTTGTGAATTGCCTTTGTGTACCAGACCCGACTTGTTTCAACTGTTATTAAACGTACCCATGAACCACGCAACAAATGGTCCCGCGAGCCGGATAATAGTTGAAAATGAGTGACACACAACGGAGTAAGAGACAGCGTCGAATTCCTCAACATTTGCAGGACTATCTGCATAGTGTACCTGATCCAAGTGAACATATTCAGGATGATGTCAGGTCAGTGACTTCTGTAATTCCTTCCCGCTCATGTTTTTCTGATTTTTCATCTACCGCTTCCTCAAATTTGTCAGAAAAAAAAACAAGCTGAGTTACAGAAAATTAAAGCAGCACAGAAATTACGTGAACTGAAAAAACAACACGAAGAAGAAATTCTTCATGATAAAATGAAAGATAAGCTTGATGAATGCTTGAGAGAAAAGCAGAGAATTCAATCATCACTGCAGAGACATCGTCAAATGAGGCAAGTAGAAGCTGAATTAGAAATGGCATCCGTTATTCATGGTATGGTTTCTGAAAATGATAAAGACATTGTTTTACCAATTAAGACTGAAACTGACATTGATGATAAATTAAATGTTGATGCATTTGTATCTGAATTGTCAAAGGTCACTGGTGCTACAAATATCACTGACAGTATCCGTGCCAGTGTTCCAGCTGGTGTGGTATCAAGTCTCGATGCCAATGCAAAGGAATTCAACTTACAATTTGGTGTGCCAATTTCTTCTCAGAATGTTGAAATTTCATTACCTGACATTACTTCATTGAACTTGAACTCAAATGTTACAGCTTCCAAAGTGTCAACTACGCCTGTTACCATGACAAGAGTCTCAACATCTGAAACCTCAGGGACAGCCTCCTGTCCTAGTACCAAGACAACTGAGCCAACCACATCTGTGTTCACATTTGCAGAGCCAATCTCTGTAAAGTCGGAGGTAATATCAACTCACAATTCAAGTGGTGCCATTCCAAAGAAACCTCAGGTTATCATGAAACAGAAATATGAACATAAACCTGTGAAACCCCAACATGTGTCAAATGTCACATATCCTGGTCACATGTCTAGTCTAGACTTTCCAAATGTCTCACCGTACTAGCCAGTGTTTTCACAATATGACCCAGTTGTGCCTCCATATCAGACAGGGATGTCTACATTTCATACATATCCAACACACACCAGTGGTATTAATCCAATGCCAAGCATTCCACAAATAATACCTCAACCAAATGTCATGCCACAAGCCTGTAGTTACTATCCCCAACAACAACAGCCAATTGCTAATGCACCAAATTATGAACTTCTTCTATCAGCATATGGGGTGCCAAAACCAAGATTACCCATGGTTATCAGTGGTAAAGAGAAAGACTTTGCTGTTTTGCAGATGGCACTTGAAAGTCTCCTTGATATTCACCCACAGCTCAGTGAAAGGTATAAATATTGAGTACTCCTAGAACGTTTAGGAGGTAAACCACTCACCCTCGCTACACGTTTTCTCCGTCATCCCACACCTTACACCAAGGCTGTTGAAGCATTGAAGGAGAATTATGGGCAAGATCATAACCTAGCTAGAGGCGAGATCAATCGCATATTGACTCTCCCCACTATCAAACCTGGTGATTACGAAGCTTTTGACAACTTCACCTTATCAATTCAGTCCCTTGTCGGATTGTTGACATCTGTAGATGGTAATGACTGCTATGAGCTGAAAACTGCCTCACATGTTGACACACTTCTTACGAAGTTGCCAGGCTCCTTACGTGACAACTTTGTCGAGTACTGTTTGAATAAAGGGGTGATCAGTAATACCAAAAACTATGACCTTGTATCCTTTTCACAGTGGTTGAATGTCAAGTCAAGGGCAAGAAGGATTGCAGCTCATGCAATTGCCGACAAGACAAACACCACTAAGTCAGATTCAAAAACAAAACAAGCTACAGCTATGCTCAACACACCTACCGGGTCCAAAACTCCGAGTACGTCTTACCAATCTTACTGTGCCTATTGTAACAGCAAGAACCATCACGTAAATGCATGTGAAAGTTTCCACAAGTTGGAAACAAGGGATGTACTTCAATGGATAAAGGACAAAAACAGGTGCATCCGTTGTGGCAGAAATCATAAAGAGCAAGACTGCAACCTTAAGAAACCATGCCGAGAGTGCAAAAGTCAACATCTAACCATACTTCATGCTATCCATGAACTGAACAATATTACTGTGAAGAAGACAACTTCATTCTATCTAGACAATCCCAACAATGTGATGTTGAAAAATGTTCCTGTAACATTACATGGCAAATGTGACATTGAAACTTTTGCCTTGCTGGATGATAGGTCAATGCGAAGCATGATCTTGTCATCTGCGGTGAATGACCTTGAACTGTCAATAAAACCTGACTCCATATTGTTGACAACGATCCAATCTGAACCTTTTCCTTGTGATGGTCATAGAGTGAACCTCTCTATTTCATCCCCCTTTGATCCAGATACAAAGCATGAAATCAAAAATGTGTTCACCTCTGAACAAATGAACCTGTCCAACTATACATATCCTGTCAAAGTCATTCAGGAAATGTATCATTTTGCCTTCAAAACCCTTGAGGACAAAACCGTCAAAGTAGTGAAATCCACTTCGCCACTCCTCTTCTCAGAATACCTGACAAGACTGTACTCAAAACAGGTAAAGAGTCTGTGTTAGAGAACATGAGAAGAACTGAGAGAAGACTCAGCAAGCATCCAGACATAGCATCGATACACAATGAGAAAATCCAAGAACTTGTTGTCAAGGGATATGTCAAAGTGATAAGTGAAGAAGAAGCATCTTCAACACCAGAGTCCTGGTTTATCCCACATCACGTTATCGCACAACATGGTAAACACAGACTGGTATTAAATTGCTCATACGAATATCAGAAACTTTCACTGAATAAGCAGTTACTTCCAGGACCGACACTAGGTGCCTCCTTACTCGGGGTGTTTTTGAGATTTCGCCAACATGTCATAGCTGTGTCAGGAGACATCAAAGCTATGTTTCATCAGATCCGACTGTTGCCTGAAGACAGAAACCTGCTTCGTTTCATTTGGAGGAAAATGGATACAGAGAGGGATGTCTCAATATATGAATGGCAAGTATTACCATTCGGTACAACTTGTTCACCATGTTGTGCCACATATGCAATTCAGAGACTGGGCACAGAAAACAAAGAGGAATATCCTGATGTGCACCAAGCAGTTCAAGATTCCTTCTATGTTGACAACTGCTTGTCTGGATTCCCTACAGTTCATAAGGCCAGGGAGTTCATCAGTAGAGTACGTCATGTTATGAAGTCTGGTGGATTCAATATCCGACAGTGGATAAGCAATGATCCTGACGTTGTTAAGGACTTGCCCAGTGAAGCCAGATCTGAAACTTGTGAATTGTGGCTCATGCAAGGCAACACTGAACCACACGAAGGAACTCTTGGCCTTCAATGGCAATGTGAAAAGGATCGTATCACTTACAAGTACAGACCCATTGCATATTCTACTCTGACACTGAATGTAGTATATAGGATACTAGCAAGTCAGTACGATCCTCTTGGATTCCTCACACCTTATCTAGCAAGAGCCAAAGTCATCGTTCAGCAACTGTGGCAACACAAACCTCAGTGGGGAGAACCACTTCCAGAATGTGAACTTCTCACAGAATGGCATCTGTGGGAATCTGAACTGAAACTTATGAACCAAGTCTCACTTCCAAGATGCATTGATCCACCTGAACCAGTCAATCAGAGACAGTTACATATTTTCTGTGATGCATCAGAAAAAGTATATGGTTCTGTCGCATACCTCAAGTCAGAGACCAATGATGGATCATCTCATGTCTCCTTTGTTGCAACACGAAGCAGAGTAGCTCCTAAGAAAGCCCTCTCAATGCCCCGCCTTGAACTGTTAGCTGCTCTAACAGGAGCCCACCTTGCCAGCACACTCACCAGTGAAATGACCATTGACATTCACAAAGTGATCATGTGGAGTGACTCAACAACTGTCCTAGCATGGTTGACATCCCAGTCATGTCGCTACAAAGTGTTTGTGGGAACTCAAGTAGCAGAAATTCAAACATTTACTGAATATCATGACTGGAAATATATCCCGTCGGAGGAAAACCCGGCTGATGATATCACCAGAGGAAAGACACTGCAGGACTTGTGTGCAGAGACAAGATGGAGAAATGGCCCAGCATTTCTAAACCTTTCAGATACTGAATGGCCTCTCAGTGATGCAAAACCAAAACCTGAAACTGATCCCTGTAGTGTTGAACTAAAGAAAGCCTTCTGCAGTCACATCACAGTTCAACCCAAAGCTGATACATCTCTACATCGAACATGGGAAAAACTCCTTGATGCCACAATCAATACTATCGAGGATCCCGATGGGGCGGCCTCCATCAATGTTACTGATGTTGAGAAAGCTGAACTACAATTGTATCGCCAAGCTCAGGAAGAATGCTTTCCAGATGAAATGAAATCATTATCCAAAGGTCTGAGAATAGCATCTAACAGCAGGCTCTCGCAACTCAGTCCAGAGTATGATAAAGACCATTACGTCATACGTGTTGGTGGTAGACTGAGAAGATGTGATGAACTGTCAATCGATGTAAAACATCCCATTGTTCTAGATCCAAATCATAATGTTACGAAGCTCCTCATAAAGAAATATGACTCTGACCTCCACCACTATGGTGCTGAAAGACTACACAGTGAAATCAGAAGAAAATTCTGGATTCTTCGAGGCCGTGAATCTGTTAAAAAACATCAGAGACAATGCCATGATTGTCAGAAATGGAGAGCAAATCCAGAGATTCCTTTGATGGCCGACCTACCAGAGGCTCGGCTAAGACTGTTCAAACCACCCTTCTATTCGACAGGAATAGATTGCTTTGGGCCTATGTATATAAAGATTGGCAGACGCAGAGAGAAAAGGTATGGAATCATCTTTAAATGCATGACAACCCGAGCCGTCCACATTGATATACTTGACAGTCTGGACACGGACGCATTCCTAATCGCCCTTCGCAGATTCATCTCCAGGAGGGGTTGTCCCTTTGAACTGTTGTCAGACTGTGGCACAAACTTCAAAGGTGGTGAAAATGAATTGTGCAAAGCTTTTGAAGCTATGAACTCTGAACTGAAAGAAAAACTCGCCAAGAACCATATCCGATTCCAATTCAATCCGCCATTTGCCCCTCACTTTGGTGGATTGTGGGAACGTGAAATTAGATCAATCAAGTATGGCCTACGCAGTATACTAGGAACTGAATCCGTCAGTGAATCTGTCCTGAGAACTGTCATGACAGAGGTAGAATCTATTCTGAACTCCAAACCTTTGGGTTACACCTCATCTGACATCTCCGATACCGATCCTGTAACTCCATACACCTTGCTGATCGGGAGATCAGACCCAGCACTTCCTCAGGTTGTCTACCTGAATGAAGACAGACTAACAAAGAAACGATTTCGTCAAAGTCAAGTACTAGCTGATCACTTCTGGAAGAAATTCATCAAGGAGTACTTGCCAAATCTCCAGCCACATGTGAAATGGACGGACGAACGGCGCAATGTACAAACTGTCGATGTTGTGCTAATCATTGACCCTCTTCACACTCGCAGTGAGTGGAAGATTGGACAAGTGATAGAGACCTATGCAGGGACCGACGGTAGAGTACGATCAGCAAAAGTGAAGACCAGTGACAATGAGATTCTCCGACCAGTGTCAAAATTGATCAAATTGCCAAAATATGACTGAATAAGACAATGTGCCTGAACCAGTTGACAATTAATGACATTTTGATAGCCATTGATTCCATGTTTTGTTCCAAATGTGTTTCTTTCAGGTTGAAGAAATCATGAACTTGTATTTATTGTGAAACATTGACATGATCTTTATTTAGTTTAAAATTTAGTTCCTACATTTGGGGCGGCTGTTATACAGTGATAGCTGTTTATGTGTTTGGAGATATTTTACCTGGGCTTCAATTAATTGATACTATTCATTGTTTTAGTATTAACCCAGTCTATAACCATTTTTTCTGAAATTCCACTTTTGTTAGATCCAAGGTGTCAGCCACCATGTGGAGCACATGTGTTGATCCTGACCCGAGTGAACCAGATTTTTGAGCCTTGTGAATTGCCTTTGTGTACCAGACCCGACTTGTTTTAACTGTTATTAAACGTACCCATGAACCACGCAACAACTACTCTTTTACAATTTGCAAAAAACAAGTAAAAGACAATGAATATACAGGTATAAGATAACATATAACGATTTTCAGTCGCATTTTAAGTTTATTTACACAATAGTACAAAAAATTAATGGAAAGGTAAATAAAATATACAGATGTTTATTTAAACTTGCAAACCTCCCTTCATCATTGAGTACATGCCATAAAGTTCTCAAATTTTGTAAGTCATGAAGAAAGTACATCAACAACGTTACAAAAGCGATATACACCTAACACTCTGACTCATAGAAACTGGTTTCGTTTATATGTTGTAGTAAATCGGTTTGTGAACTGTGTGATATGAACAGTAAAGAGGTCAACGAGAAATATATCTGACCATATATTGTCAATATAGAACGTCAATGCAAGAGAATAATTAGTCTATGAATGGATCTCTGAAAATCAATGATGATACCAGGAATGTAAAAAGGTATATGTAAGTATGACACGCTGATTGGCCTGCGGTAATATGTGAGCTGTAACGATTATGAATGAAAATGGTCAAATATTTCATGTCATTTTGACTAAATAACATACACTTTTAAATAAATAAACCAACATCTAATCAGATCAACAGACTAATTGATATGGGAGGAACAGTGGTGAAAAATACATATGATTGGTAATATCGCACATCATGTTCTAGAAATTTACAATAAATGTCAGGCGAACAAATAGGACCCGACTACTTTTTATTTCAATATTTGAAGGTGGGTAAGTCTGGAGACCAGTTTCAAAAGTCTAGTCAATGTCGTTGCTTAAAACTATGATTGGGCATGAGTGGAATGAACTGTACTTGGTATTATTGCCTAGGCTAATCGACCAACATTAAAACGTGTTGAGTATGAGGAGAACCCCCTTGAAGACACTCCTAGAGGCGGAGCCATGTAATCCAAGTCTCCGGTTCGTGTTGGCGGAGGTTTTCGTTTTGTCCCCATTCTGCAAATGCCTCTGAAATAAGGGACACACACATTAATCCAAATTATCACAGACTTAAGATAGCGGAAATTTGTCTGATTGTGTACTCTTTGACATTATTACAGTTTCTAGAAGGCTATCTGTTACAAGCGACAGAGGACTATTCGATATCTTTAACGAATTTTAATCTTCTTGTCAAGTGGGAATTGTATACCTATCTGAACACTGGACTGTTTCATGACAATCGACAGTGACAAGATCCTGAACATTCGTGTGTGCACACACATTCATTAAAGGGCCGCTCCCACGTATGTAACCCATTGTTTTGCCTTGTGCTTCAGTATAAGTTATTGATTATTCATTGATCTTAAGTGATTATTTACTGATTGCACAATTCAGCTCCGATACCGATTATGATATTAATCAGTTTGGAAATCACACCAGAACAATATTAATTGTTGGAATGAACTATTTTGCTGTAGTTTTGTTTGTGGAGTATTCACAAGTGCCTCTGACGTCTAAGGCTGGTTCAATTGCTTTTTGACAGCAAGCGGAGGAGGTCATGGAGACATGTACTTCCAAAGTTTGTTTGGAGAAATAAAAAGGTAATAAACACTTCTGTTTATGTTAATTTTGTTGAAAGCAATAATACTTCACAAACAAACTTCACACAGTGCCATGTGTAGTGTCATCCGATCGCAGTCAACTACCGTCTGTCTATTCGTGTTGGTGGACAACGTCCAGTACAAAGAGTTACATTTTTAGCACAACGAGTGGTTAAACTAGCTGGATTAAATATTAAGATGACTTCTCTTATGAATTTGATAGTCGAAGCCTGACATCGATTTGTGCAAGTGGTTCCTAGTTCTGTGCAAGAACACCCAGTCCCCGACATCTACAGGAACTACTGCATATGCCAACACAAGCACGAAGAAGCACATTTCCAACACATTTATGTAGATTAACTCTTTAAGGAAAATAACTGTACGCACCTTTTGACAAAGACGATGAGAGCAATGAGGATGACAATTATCCCGAGACCGAGAGCGGAGATCGCCCCTATGATTATTTTTTGCTCTGGAAACAAACAAATATTTCATACAATTCATGACCTGATAATACTGATTGTTTTTATTTTTAATTAATATAAATGCAAAAATGAATGATTTCCTTGAAGGAAGGAATTGACAAAGGAGAAACCGGTGGTAGTACAAGTTTCCGTGAAAGTCAGAAAGACAGCGGTAATCACTGTTTCCAAGACTTTTCTGTCTCCATATTCTTTATTCTTAACATGTGTTTGTTTCCGTTTTATGCTGAAGTCAGCAATATTAATGGTAATTTGTAACTCTTTGTAATTTGTGTACTCACCACTGAGAGCATTAACTGTCATGGTAGGAGGAGATGAGCCTAAAGTTGTGGATGTAGGTGCTGCTATGACTGTAGCTGTGCTGGACACTACTCTTGTCCTGTTAGCTTGTTTTGATGGAGGTGAAGAACTTTGTGTTGAGCTGGCAGTTGTAGGAATTGTTGATGTAGTTGTGGTAGTTGGCGTTGTAGTTGGCGTAGTTGTAGTTAATTGCGTATTTGTAGAAGTCGTTGGTGTAGTTGTGGTAGTTGTTGGTGAACTAGTGGAAGTTGTTGTAGGTCTAGTAGTTATTGGTGTAGTTGTGGTAGTTGGTGAAGTTGTAGTAGAAGCTGGTATAGTTGTTGTAGTTGTTGGTGTAGTAGCTGAGGTTGTTGGGGGAGTAGTTGTTGTTGATGGTGTAGCTGTTGGTGCAGTTGTGGTAGTTGTTGGTGTAATTGTGGTAGTTATTGAGGTAGTAGTGGTAGTTGGTAAAGTGGTAGTTTGTGTATTTGTGGTAGTTGTTGGTGTAGTGGTTGTTGCAGTTGTGGTAGTTGTTGGTGTAATTGTGGTAGTTATTGGTGTAGTAGTGGTAGTTGGTAAAGTGGTAGTTATTGGTCCAGTTGTGGTAGTTGTTGGGGGAGTAGTGGTAGTTGTTGGTACAGTTGTAGTTGTGACAGTTGTTTGTGTAGCTGTGGCAGTCGTTGTGGTAGTTGTAGTAGTTGTTGATGGAGTTGTGGTAGTTGATTGCGTACTAGTGGACGTTGTAGGTCCAGTAGTTCTTGGTGCCGTTGTGGTAGATGTTAGAGTAGTGTTAGTTGTTGTGATAGTAATTGGTGTAATTGTGGTAGTTGTTGGTGTAATTGTGGTAGTTATTAGTGTAGTAGTGGTAGTTGGTAAAGTTGTAGTTGTTGGTGCCGTTGTGGTAGATGTTAGAGTAGTGTTAGTTGTTGTGATAGTAATTGGTGTAATTGTGGTAGTTGTTGGTGTAGTTGTGGTAGTTATTGGTGCAGTTGTGGTAGATGTTAGTGTGGTTGTGATAGTTGTTGGTGTAGATGTGGTAGTTGTTTGTGTAGTTGTGGTAGTTGTTGCGGGAGTAGTGGTAGTTGTTGGTGTAGTTGTTGTTGCAGTTGTGGTAGTTGTTGGTGTAATTGTGGTAGTTTTTGGGGTAGTAGTGGTAGTTGGTAAAGTGGTAGTTGTTTGTGTAGTTGTGGTAGCTGTTGCGGGAGTAGTGGTAGTTGTTGGGGGAGAGGTGGTAGTTGTTGGTGTAGTTGTTGTTGCAGTTGTGGTAGTTGTTGGTGTAATTGTGGTAGTTATTGGTGTAGTAGTGGTAGTTGGTAAAGTGGTAGTTATTTGTGCAGTTGTTGTAGTTGTTGGTGTAGTTGTGGTAGTTGTTGGTGTAGTTGTGGTAGTTGTTTGTGTAGTTGTGGTAGTTGTTGGGGGAGTAGTGGTAGTTGTTGGTGTAGTTGTTGTTGCAGTTGTGGTAGTTGTTGGTGTAGTTGTGGTAGTTGTTGGGGGAGTAGTGGTAGTTGTGGTAGTTGTTGGGGGAGTAGTGGTAGTTGTTGGTGTAGTTGTTGTTGCAGTTGTGGTAGTTGTTGGTGTAATTGTGGTAGTTTTTGGGGTAGTAGTGGTAGTTGGTAAAGTGGTAGTTGTTTGTGTAGTTGTGGTAGTTGTTGCGGGAGTAGTGGTAGTTGTTGGGGGAGAGGTGGTAGTTATTGGTGCAGTTGTGGTAGATGTTAGTGTAGTTGTGATAGGTGTTGGTGTAGATGTGGTAGTTGTTTGTGTAGTTGTGGTAGTTGTTGCGGGAGTAGTGGTAGTTGTTGGTGTAGTTGTGGTAGTTATTGTTGCAGTTGTGGTAGATGTTAGTGTAGTTGTGATAGTTTTTGGCGTAGATGTGGTAGTTGTTGGGGGAGTAGTGGTAGTTGTTGGTGTAGTTGTTGTTGCAGTTGTGGTAGTTGTTGGTGTAATTGTGGTAGTTTTTGGGGTAGTAGTGGTAGTTGGTAAAGTGGTAGTTGTTTGTGTAGTTGTGGTAGCTGTTGCGGGAGTAGTGGTAGTTGTTGGGGGAGTAGGGGTAGTTGTTGGTGTAGTTGTTGTTGCAGTTGTGGTAGTTGTTGGTGTAATTGTGGTAGTTATTGGTGTAGTAGTGGTAGTTGGTAAAGTGGTAGTTATTCGTGCAGTTGTGGTAGTTGTTGGTGTAGTTGTGGTAGTTGTTGGTGTAGTTGTGGTAGATGTTAGTGTAGTTGTGGTAGTTGTTGGTGCAGTTGTGGTAGTTGTTGGTGTAGTTGTGGTAGTTATTGGTTCAGTTGTGGTAGATGTTAGTGTAGTTGTGATAGGTGTTGGTGTAGATGTGGTAGTTGTTTGTGTAGTTGTGGTAGTTGTTGGTGTAATTGTGGTAGTTATTAGTGTAGTAGTGGTAGTTGGTAAAGTTGTAGTTGTTGGTGCCGTTGTGGTAGATGTTAGAGTAGTGTTAGTTGTTGTGATAGTAATTGGTGTAATTGTGGTAGTTGTTGGTGTAGTTGTGGTAGTTATTGTTGCAGTTGTGGTAGATGTTAGTGTAGTTGTGATAGTTGTTGGCGTAGATGTGGTAGTTGTTTGTGTAGTTGTGGTAGTTGTTGCGGGAGTAGTGGTAGTTGTTGGTGTAGTTGTTGTTGCAGTTGTGGTAGTTGTTAGTGTAGTTGTGATAGTTTTTGGCGTAGATGTGGTAGTTGTTTGTGTAGTTGTGGTAGTTGTTGCGGGAGTAGTGGTAGTTGTTGGTGTAGTTGTTGTTGCAGTTGTTGTAGTTGTTGGTGTAATTGTGGTAGTTTTTGGGGTAGTAGTGGTAGTTGGTAAAGTGGTAGTTGTTTGTGTAGTTGTGGTAGTTGTTGCGGGAGTAGTGGTAGTTGTTGGGGGAGAGGTGGTAGTTGTTGGTGTAGTTGTTGTTGCAGTTGTGGTAGTTGTTGGTGTAATTGTGGTAGTTATTGGTGTAGTAGTGGTAGTTGGTAAAGTGGTAGTTATTTGTGCAGTTGTGGTAGTTGTTGGTGTAGTTGTGGTAGTTGTTGGTGTAGTTGTGGTAGTTATTGGTTCAGTTGTGGTAGATGTTAGTGTAGTTGTGATAGGTGTTGGTGTAGATGTGGTAGTTGTTTGTGTAGTTGTGGTAGTTGTTGGTGTAATTGTGGTAGTTATTAGTGTAGTAGTGGTAGTTGGTAAAGTTGTAGTTGTTGGTGCCGTTGTGGTAGATGTTAGAGTAGTGTTAGTTGTTGTGATAGTAATTGGTGTAATTGTGGTAGTTGTTGGTGTAGTTGTGGTAGTTATTGTTGCAGTTGTGGTAGATGTTAGTGTAGTTGTGATAGTTTTTGGCGTAGATGTGGTAGTTGTTGGTGTAGTTGTGGTAGTTATTGGTTCAGTTGTGGTAGATGTTAGTGTAGTTGTGATAGTTGTTGGCGTAGATGTGGTAGTTGTTTGTGTAGTTGTTGTTGCAGTTGTGGTAGTTGTTAGTGTAGTTGTGATAGTTTTTGGCGTAGATGTGGTAGTTGTTTGTGTAGTTGTGGTAGTTGTTGGGGGAGTAGTGGTAGTTGTTGGTGTAGTTGTTGTTGCAGTTGTGGTAGTTGTTGGTGTAATTGTGGTAGTTTTTGGGGTAGTAGTGGTAGTTGGTAAAGTGGTAGTTGTTTGTGTAGTTGTGGTAGCTGTTGCGGGAGTAGTGGTAGTTGTTGGGGGAGTAGGGGTAGTTGTTGGTGTAGTTGTTGTTGCAGTTGTGGTAGTTGTTGGTGTAATTGTGGTAGTTATTGGTGTAGTAGTGGCAGTTGGTAAAGTGGTAGTTATTTGTGCAGTTGTGGTAGTTGTTGGTGTAGTTGTGGTAGTTATTGGTGCAGTTGTGGTAGATGTTAGTGTAGTTGTGATAGGTTTTGGTGTAGATGTGGTAGTTGTTTGTGTAGTTGTGGTAGTTGTTGGTGTAATTGTGGTAGTTATTAGTGTAGTAGTGGTAGTTGGTAAAGTTGTAGTTATTGGTCCAGTTGTGGGAGATGTTAGTGAAGTTATAGTAGTTGTTGGTGTAGCTGTGGCAGTCATTGTAGTAGTTGTTGATGAAGTTGTGGTAGTTGATGGCGTACTAGTGGAAGTTGTTGTAGGTCTAGTAGTTGTTGGTGCCGTTGTGGTAGTTGTTGGTGTAGTAGTTGAGGTTGTTGGGGCAGTCGTGGTAGTTGATGTTGTAGCTGTTGGTGCAGTTGGTGTAGTTGTTGGTGCAGTTGTGTAAGTTGTTGGTGTAATTGTGGTAGATGTTAGTGTAGTAGTGGTAGTTGGTGTAATTGTGGTAGTTGGTAAAGCGGTAGTTATTGGTGCAGTTGTGGTAGTTGTAGGTGTAATCGTGGTATTTGTTGGTACAGTAGTAGTTGTGACAGTTGTTTGTGTAGCTGTGGCAGTCGTTGTGGTAATTGTAGTAGTTGTTGATGTAGTTGTGGTAGTTGATGGCGTACTTGTGGACGTTGTTGTAGGTCCAGTAGTTCTTGGTGCCGTTGTGGTAGATGTTAGTGTAGTGTTAGTTGTTGTGATAGTAATTGGTGTAATTGTGGTAGTTGTTTGAGTAGTTGTGGTAGTTATTGGTGCATTTGTGGTAGATGTTAGTGAAGTTGTGGTAGTTGTTGGTACAGTAGTAGTTGTTGTTGTTGTTGTAGTTGTGGGTACAGTAGTAGCTGTTGTAGTTGTGGAAGATTGTGACGTAAAATTGCGACAAGTGTCACAACACCTTCCAATGTAGTCGGGACCGGAAGTGATACAGTTGCTATAGGCACATGGGCCAGTAAACGTGTTATCGCCATATGGACAGTCTGCAACATAATCAAGCAGCGTTTAAACATTCAGATATTTGCTAATTGCTATATTAATGACAATATTGTCGAGCATGTTCGTCTTTCGATTATCATAACCATCGTGTAAACCTTTCACTAGACCATGGTTAATGTGGAAGTAAATCCCAAGGTAATGCAGATGGAACATGTTTAACCCTTTGGTAAATCCGATGATCAATGGTAGCACATGATGGTAAGAGGCATGAATTCCATTCGCGGATAGATTCGCAGTAAATTTATGCAACTCTGCGTAACTATTCTTGTCAACTATAAGACATATTTCATCATTTAGACCAGTTCTCAAACGTAATGTCCTCACATAAATTATAGATACCAGACACTGCGATGAAGGGCGGCTATGCGCTGCTGACAACAATTATGGAGCTTTGGAATCCAGTACAAAAGAGGAATTGACATGTCTTCAGGTTTTAGAGTCAAAACAAAAGGCGTTAGGACATGCTATACAGTCTAATAAATTGCATAAATGAAACTCGCTGTTCAGGAAGCAAGGAAAACCATGCACTTATCTCTCTTTCTATCTTACTCTTATCATCAAATATTCTACATTATGTGAACTGGATGCCTTATTAAACGCGTTAGAGTGTTAGTCGGAAAGGTGACTGGCGCATTAAACTGGACTTCAGTAGGGATTATTTTTGTATGTATTCAATCAGCGCCGGATATGCAGCATTTTGTAACCGAAGAAGAAAAGTAACTATCATAAGATTAATACAGCATACTGTAATTATTACAATTAACTGCCTTAATGATAAATATATTGTATGACCATTGCCATTCCTGTGTATGGTTATTGTAGAAATTATAAACTGGCATATATCAGACACTTTAATGTCGAAGCTTAGATTTAGAGTTAAAAAAATCAGTTGGTGTTAATTGACGAAATCAACCGAAACAAAATCAGAATACGGAAGAAATACACACTTTGGGTTAAAGTATTCAAAGTATTGTACCATAACATGTATAACCACCAACTAAATCCAACATGACTGCCATGACCATTTGAAACAAAATAAAACTGTTATAGATATGTTGTAATATTGTGACTGATTACACGTGGTCCTTTCTGAATAGTTCCTTATATAAGTAGACATGATTTAAGTTTCCTGTAGAGGAAACATAGAGGGGAGGTACATATAGAATAGCGTCTAAATGCTAACTTATGATAACACTGACAATGGTCAACAGTGTGCAGAAATATCTAACATTTATGTTTCTACGAAGCAGTTATTAGTATATATATTACTATGAACTAATGAGCCATAATGATCTGTAGGTTACCCATAACTTCCCAAATTCTCTCAAACATTAGATCATAATACAACTGTTAACATGAATATACAAAAACAATTAATAAACGTTTCTACCCACAGGTGGCTACTGGGCGCGAAAGGCAACATCTATGTGAGGTGAGGTGAAATTTGGTTTAACGTCGCGTCCAAGATTATTGCACTTATATAGCGACGTGCATTCACGTGTGTGTGTGGCCGCTTGTACTATTTCGGACTGACGCCGATTTATAGTGCTAGAACACTGAGATACCATGCCGCAGTTTAACACAAATATCCCACGCAGACACAGTATACTGACTCCGAGCCGACCATTCCTTGTTTTAGCCCCTTAATGCCGAGCGCCAGGCAGGGTAACAACAAGTACCATCTTTTAACGTCTTTTTGGTATGATGCGGCCGGGGATCGAACCCCGGACCTTCCGCTCTCCGGGCGGACGCTCTACCACTAGACAACGGAGGCGGTCTGCAACACCTATGTGAAACACCCTAGCGACTATCATATATATACCCGTCAATAACTTAAATGTTGCAGATTAGAAGTTGAGCAAATCCCTTAATTTCGATGATCAGGATTATGTTATGTATAAAGCCAATATATACTTGGTGCTCAAATAAAAAAAACTTACGTCCTGTCCAATAACTTTTAATAATGATAACTGCAGAAACTCGAAAATGAGATTTAGACTTATAAAATCCTTATAAACTACAACTTGAATGATTGATTAAATAATCCAAAACCCAAACCAGACCTCACCAAAACCCCTAGTGTCTGTACTTACCACCTCCTGATGAGTAGGCTGAGCAAGTCTCACAACAGCCATAGGCATTGTTTTCATTGTAACAAAGACTTTTCCGTTCCTGAGTAATACCAGTGTCACAGTTAGAGTAACGATCACCATATGTGCAATTTGCTGGAAATCATACAATTCAATAATATGAATATTGACGAAATACACACATTGTGTTAAAGGCATGAAGCTTTGCATGTCAAACTGTTAATAAACCAGTTGTAATATTGTGATTGATAATATCTGATCCATTCTGAATAGTTCATAAGATTAGCAGAATTGTGTTAGGATTCATGTTAATATTGACAATGGTTAGCATTGTGTAATTACACCTGCCATTAACACAATTTTTGTATATCGAAAATAACGGCTTGTACACCAATAATATGAATAATATATTACTGCTTTAATAATTAGAGAAGTAGATGGTACATATTGATACCCTGGATTGATAAATTGGAGTGAGTGAGTATGGTTTTACGCCGCTTTTAGCAATATTCAAGAAATATCACGGCAGGGGACACCAGAAATGGCCTTCACACATTGTACCCATGTCGGGAATCGAACCCGGGTCCTCGGGGTGAGGAGCGAACGCTTTAACCACTAGGCTACCCGACCGCCCCCGATACACTGGACTGAAGCATTAGATTTATACATTGTTTTGACACATCGTATTGATACATTGGGTTGATAGATGATATTGATACGCTGGATTGAAATTTTGTATTGACACATAGATTGATAACGTCTACTGGTTTATTGGGATGATCTGATACACTGGACTCACATATTGTATTGATACATTGCATTGATACATTGGACTGATACCTTGAACGTAAACATTTGACTGATACACTCGACATATATAGTGGACACATTTATTTGAGTGATGCACTGGACTGATACATTGGATTGATATACTGGTCTGATACATTGGATTGGTACATTGAACTGGTACATTGGATTGATACATTGGTCTGATGCAATCAATTAATACATCGGACTGATATAGGGGACTTCTACATTGAATTGATTCATTAGACCTATACACTGGACTAATAGATTAGGTTGAAGTGATACATTGGACTGATGCATTGAACTGATACATTGATCTGATACAGTGGACTGATGAATTTGGTCACAGATCCGGTATTAAATCAAGTATTTTGATTGTATGTTAAGGGGAGATAATCCCAGTTTGGAATTTGGTGAAAGACATCTAATCATTTGAAAAGTATTTTATTCCATAGAATAACTTACTGCCACTCATTAACGTTAACAAATAAACATTTAAATAATTTCAACCTCACATTTCAGTATGCAAACTTTCGACTTACCAATGTCTGTATTTATAAGGTTCTCCGAAACTCAAACCGTCTAAAGGTCTCTATCATTACTTACCTACTGCCGACTTGTAAACTGAACATGTTTCACAACAACCCCTGGCATTTGCTTCGTTGTAGCATAGATCTTTCTTGTCCTGAGTAATTGTGTCACAGTTTCTATATCGATCTCCATATGGGCAGTTTTCTAGAGCAATCGAAATATACAAGTACACATAAGAAATATGAGGCAAATAGATACAAACGTATCTTAATCGTGAAGATGACCCGTTGGTTAACACATCAGTCAATATTCCCATGTTCAACAGACACTGATGGCAACATTCCAAATGACACAAACCGTAGGGGAGGTACGTAAACCACGTGCTGAGTACCACAGAGGAGTGGATGTCATACTGGATTATCACGTGGTACTTGTATCCTCAATTCACATTTTGGAAGAGGATTTGTTATCTAACATACACACAACAGTAAGTATAGTCTTGAACATTACTGCTTTATGCTTTTATTGAATATGTTTACTGGATGTGTATGGCTATAACATTATTGTATGGTTTTGTCATGTGAGAATCGCAAAAATCAAGTAATAATATGGAAATGGGGGTGATTTGTGTTTGAGAGTGTACGTGTTTTGTTTGGTTCTTGTTTCTAAACACTAAACTATTGAACAATAGTTTATCATTGTTAATAATTCTAAGAAAACTACCTCTATTACATATCTGCCATAGATCCTGCATTTTGGCTTCAATCACACTAACTAAAATTTTCAGATTGTCAACAGACGTCCTCTTCACTGTCAATCACACAATTAGTTGTCGGAATGTAGTAACTACCCAGGCCATGACGTCATAATGGCGGAAACACCACTTTCATCTACTACTAGAGGTAGCAAAATTCGAGACGTGGGAGGGAGTAATTCGTATGTAAAAGAGGTAGTATTTTTAGAATTATTAACAATGATAAACTATTGTTCTGTAATTCTAACGAAGCTTCTCCCTCTATTACATATCTGCCATAAATCCTGCATTTTGGCTTCAATCACACTAACTAAACTTTTCAGATTTTCAACAGACGTCCTCTTTTCACTGTCAATGAAACAATAAGTTGTCGCCAAGTAGTCTCGTAACTACCCAAGCCATCACGTCATAATGGCGGCAACACCACTTTCATCTACTACTAGAGTTAGACGAATTCGAGACGTGGGAGGGAGTAATTCATATGTAAAAGAGGCAGTATTTTTAGAATTATTAACAATGATAAACTATTGTTCAATAATTCTTACAGAGCTTCTACCTCTGTTACATATCTGCCAGAATATACCAGAGGGACCCCTGTGTAATTGACTGCAAACCTCTTCTGGAAACCATTATGTACTGATTCTAATCCTACTTGAGATAATTTCCTCTGAAATTCCCCTTGAGGACTTGAAAATCAGATACTGTGTCAAGAATCAGTCCCAATATGTGCTATTTACACTAGATTTTCCGTCATATTTGCTGATCTTAAGCGTAAATAAACCTGGATTTGTGACTTTTAATACCGACGATTACGTCACTTCCGTTTATGACACCACTTCCGGTTATGACGTCACTTCCGGTATGTCACTTCCCCTTTTGGTAATGACGTCTTTCTAGCTCTATTTCTACCCCAAAGGCGTCATTTAGCAACTTGTTTCCGGTGCTGACGTCACTTTCGGTTATTCTCTTACTTCCGGTAATGACGTCACTTCCGGTCTAATGATGATAGTTGATATTTAAGGTGCTTCTTATCCTCCCTACACCTAATATGCAGAATGATAATCAAAGGTGTACACACCCTCTGATGCTGCTGGTGTCGGAGGATGAAGGTCTCCCCGATCTTGCCACAGCTTCTGAGGCAAGTTCAGAGTATACGGATGTCTGCATCTTCTGCATGAATACATCCAGGCGGTTAGATGTAGACTGCAGATTTTCGTGAAATATGCTGGACTTGGGTTGTCATAGCAGATCTCGACGAAGTGGTAACTGTATAGGTTCCTCCATGAGTAGCTTAAGTAGTCTTGGGAACCATGACTAGCAGGGCCATATTGAAGCTATCAGTATTATTACACCATCCGTCTCCTCCACCTCGTGGAGGACTTTGTCAAGGAGAGACCATGATGGGAATGCGTAGGCGAATAGATTGGTCCAATCCATCGAAAGAGCGTCGATCTGGTGAGCTCTTTGGACGTTAACTGGGCTGACATAGACCGGAAGTTGGTTGTTCTGGCAGGTGGCGAATAGATCTATATGTGGTATGCCCCATAGCTTGGTTATCCAGGTGAAGATCTGGGGATGTAATGTCCATTCTGTTGCCACTATTCTCACCCGAAAGACTGTTCAGTTTCCCGGGTATATGTCTCGATCCGGCAATTGAAGGAGTCTGCCAAGGCAAACAATCGTGTAGTCTTCATCATCAGGGTGATTGTTCTGGTTCCTCCCTGCTTCTGAATATAGGCCACTACTGTGGTGTTGTCCGTGGCTATGAGAACAGATGATAGATGAAGATGTATCCACCATTCCAGGATGGCGTTATATATGGCCTTGATTTCCCTGCAGTTGATATGAAGATTTTTCTCCTCTGTGTTCCACGATCCCTGTACGATGAGATCGTCCATATGGGCTCCCCATCCCGAATCTGACGCGTCTGTGAATAGATGGTGCTCTTGCGTCGGATACATCAGAGGGATGCCACTCATCACATGTTCTCAGTGATTCCACCAATGGAGGTCTCATAGTAATCTGGGAGTTAACTGAGTCGGGTACTCTTGGCCGTGAGATCGTATATGGTTGACACATATCTGTAGAGGACGTAGCATCAGCCTTCCTCTGAAGATCATAACCTGTAGAGACGTAAAGTTGCCCTGAAGAGACATCCACCACCTCGGCGACTTGCTGGGTTGACTTGAAAGTGATTGAATCATCTATATAGTCTTATCGAATCGATCCTCCGATGGGCATAGATATCCCCTGTCTAGCTGGAATCTTACTCTGATGTATATAATGTCTTGAACCGGAGTAGTCTCTGACTTGGATGGATTGACTAGAAGGTCATAAGTTGGACCATGAATATCAAGTTCTGATGTAGCTGATCTTTTCCTTGGTCTGCCGCTAGGAAGTCGCCCAGATAGCTTTGAATTCGGACTAGCTGGAGGTGAGCGAACTTGATGACTGGTGCTGTAATCCTGGTGAATAGCCAAAGCTCTATTGCTATCCCGAATGGTAGGACTTGGAATTCGTAGCGTCGACCATTGAAGCGTAGATAGTTACTGGAGGATGGGTTTCTCGGGGCGTGAAGATATGCATCTGTTAGTCTAGGCTGATAAGCCAGTCCCCTTTCTTCAACCTAGACCATAATTTCCGTATGGACTCCATCTGGAATTTTGGTGGAGGTACCAGATCTCTTGATGAGGGTTTTTTAATTTATAATCATCCTCATCTCGGTTGTATTTTTTTCCAGAAGACAAGAGAGTAAAAACCCTTGGCTCCGACCAGGGGAAATCTTCAGCCCAGGGCGTGTGTGTTCAGGATCGGGTGTTCCCTGAAGTGTAGCTTGTATCCATGATCCACGACGTGTGGAATCCAGTGGGCGGGCATAACTCGCTTCCAATTTTTGGCGTATGACAGTAGACGCCTTCCCACTGGGCCCGGATTCGGCATTATGTTGAAAGACGATAGGCGTAAATCACAGTCCATAGACATAACTAGGATAATGGATATAATGGATAATCGTCGCACTCTGCGTATATACCGTAGGTTTCGTCACCCTCCGGTCACCATGATTCCGGTATAATCTGTCTCTGTGTGGCTTGTGGTCCATGGGTAGCGGAAGCCATGCGGTGGCTGCACTTTCGGCCGGCTGGCCAGTCGGCTGCCTGGGTAATCCCGTGTGTGCCGTGCGGCTGGCTTGGGAACCGTTGGCTGATGAAGGTCATACGGTAAGCCGTAGTCGGTCGGCTGGGTAGCTGTGGGTGGCTGGTCCATGGAGTCCGTGCAACTGTTCAGCGTCTGGCTGGTGTGGCTGGCTGGCTTGGTTGCCGTGGACGGCCTGTACATGGATACCGTGCCGTTCCCGTACGGTATTCTCCCTTGGTTGGGTAACGCCTGCTGGCTGACCGTACGGCCCAGTTTACTGGTCTATTGTAGATGGGCCTACGGCCGTGGAAGAAGATCGGATAGTCTATGCCAGAGCTATCTCTTTGATCTTTCCTATCTCTGTATCCATTGCTGAGAGCTTCGTCTCGAGCATGCCCTTCACCATCTCCTGCTGTTGAACAGTTGGTTGATCAGACTCATGGTGGGTGCAGGAGATGGTGGGTGGACTGGAGAGGGAGGCACTGGAGTGGAAACTGATTTTCCAGTTACGATGTTTTCCACTTTCTTCTTGGCAGCCTCGCGCCTACTGCATTGTTGACATCTCTTCTCCTAAGTGCAGGTCATACCTCTGCACTTCGTGCAGTTTTCATGAGGATCTCCCCTGACCATGAATCGGCCACACTTCTTGCACCCAGGGGTAGAGGGAGACAACATGACGACCTCACAAAATCCCCAAACACAGGCTTTGATGTCTGTTATTATAGAAAACTTATGAGAATTATCTTAGCTTAATGTGCCTTACTACCAAGTGCTAGATTGTTACTAATATTACTGTGGGAGTTAACTCAAGCACACACAGGAAAAAAGTGATGTTGCCGCCATCATGGCGTCATGGCTTGGGTAGTTACAAGACTACTCTGCGACAACTAATTGTGTGAGTGACAGTGAGAAGGACGTCTGTTGAAAATCTGAACATTTTAGTAAGTGTGATTGAAGCCAAAATACAGGATTTATGATTTATATATGTACCCGGGGTAGATGTTTTGTTAGAATTTTTTCTAGTACAGAAAAGCAGCGAAAACCCTTTGCTCACAACCCATTTTCCCCGGAAAACCAGCATGTAAAAAAGAACTGATATTGCCGTTGGTTAATTCTTTTTCGAAAAGAAATTATTTGCTGCATCAAAAATATCAGCTCAGTCACCCCCACCCCCAACCCACCACCACCACATCACTCCACCCACGATCCCATAGACAGCACCATTACAAAGTATTCCCAATTGGAACATGATATTTTCTCTGTACATATCGAATACATGAAACATGTAGATGTAAAGCATATTAGATTTATACTTAGAAATAGTGTACATTCTGTACAATATGCTTGAAATGACTTAACGAGAGACTACTATCATTAAGAAATAAGTACCGTCATTTCTCTTGTAGATAGGACAGGTCTCACAGCAGGCCGTCAAATAACCAGGATTGTAGCACAAACGTGGTGTTGCACTTATCAGCTCAGCACATGTTCTATTGGCCGGGTAAACGATTGGCTGGTTCCCAAAGAGACAGTCAGCTGAAATTGTGGGCAGGTTTCCGAAAGTGATCATTGCATTCAAGGAAAAGATGTCGTCCGAGATATTATGGCGCTCTCTAACGAGGTATAGCATACACACCCAGAAAAAAGTCAAGTACCACTTACTATTTCTTAAATTTGTATACTGTATTAATGTTCTGACGACAAACATTTGTTTTTGTTCACCGTGTGACATACTCGAATTGAAATACAGAATATCGAATATTTATGATCATTAATTTGTTTTGTGACCGTTTCATGACAATATGACCATGACTACCATCTCAGATGCTCCTTTGCTTCTTTAAATGATATTATGTACATTTTTTTTTTGTATCGATTGGTGGTCTGATGTGCTACGACACATTTGGCAAAGTTGCATCCCTTAGTGCTTCCAAGATACACTGCTAGTGGATTCGAATTCACAGATTCACCTTTGTTATGATCCGTAGTTTGTCAGCATGATACCCGTGCTTCCGAGAAGCGATTCCTCTGACTTATGTGTAAACGTATACTTCAATAACTTACTATTGTTTTGTTCTGGTGCATCTATGGAAAACACACAGTGTCCAGCAACACACCACTGAAATCACAGTGCAACACATATAACACTACTAATGATAATAATAACAACAATTTATGAAACATTTATAGCAATTGCTACGCCTATCAACTTATACAGTCCAATTTCATGAACATGTTTACATTCAATTTCCATTCACAGTTCCCTTGGAAGTGCATGCAAATGTTAACATGGGTTAAGTACAGACACATATGCACGTTCAGATGGTGTACCTTTTTATCGCCACATGGCGTTCCGTCTGCAGCGTTTCGGGACGATTTAAGCTGTTCCTTGCCACAGACCATTCTCTTGCATATGTTTTCTGAATTACTTATGTTGAAATCCTGTAAATGTCATGTTCAGTAGTGAGTAAAATGTCTATCGTGATAATGGAAATATAGCAGAAAGACAGTTTTACACCTGTCTAGTATATGATGGACCAAGCAGGATTTCTTCTAATGCTAATAAATATATTTTTCGTACTGATCGCAAGACGAAGCCTGGCCCAAACATCATTTGACACTGCGTGTGAGCGTCGTAGAGCTGCCCCGGCATCGTCCCCGTGATGTTTGTCACAGAAGCCGGCTCGAGACTCGTCTGTAGGCATTGCTGTTGGGCATTTGAACTGTAAAATATACGATACTGAATAGGAAATATCACGGCTGTATTATGTTATATGGATATACTCATGGGCATAGGCACCAGCACATATTGTAAAATGTCACAATACTGTAGGTGAGGTGAGGAGAAATATTCTTTTTATGTCGCGTCCAAGATTATTGCACTTATATAGCGATGTGCATGCACGTGGGTGTGTATGTGTGTGTGTGTGTGTGTGTGTGAGTGCGTGTGCGTGCGTGCGTGCGTCCGTGCGTGTGTGTGTGCGTGCGTGCGCGTTTGTGGCTCCTTGTAATAGTCCGGACTGATGCCGATTGATAGTGCTAGCCCACTAAGATACCATGCCGCAGTTTAACATGAATACCCCTCTCAGACACAGTATACTGACTCCGAGCCGACCAGTCCTTGTTTTAGCCCCTTAATGCCGAGCGCCAGACAGGGTAACAACAAGTACCATCTTTCAAGGTCTATTCGCATGACGCGGCCGGGGTCGAACCCCGGACCTTCCGCTCTCCGGCGGACGCTCTACAACTAGACCACGGATGCGGTCCATGATGCTGTAAATACGTTACGCAGAGTTATTAATTTTGCCTTAGCTGCGCCAGCAACCGACGGTCTTGGTTTCGGATTCCAGTGAACACACCACCACACATATTCACTCCTAACAATGTGTCACCTCTACCAATCACCTTTCGCACTAACCAAGTTGAAAATATATTGGTTTGGAAAACATATTTTAACAGGGCTAATGAAAAACAACTCACTGAAACTCAGCTTTTATTGTAAATAATACTTTATAATTGGCAAGTTGATTATCGCTAAATCAAAGGAAATAGTAATGTATTCATAGTCAGTAAAGAAATGCCGTGGACAAAGGTAATGAAATAATTCGTAGATACACCTAACAAATTTATAGTATTAGATGACTTATCATGGGCAAGCACACAACCACTTTGGCATACACCGTATAAAATGAATCACGTGAAAAAGCTGTCGACAGCAAATGTCTGACACCCCAAAACGAGTCGGATTATTCCAGATCTTCAGTAATAAAGTGTTCATTTCACATATAGGTTTGAGTGTTAAGGTTGTTTTTCTAATAGCACCAAATTTTTATATAAGATAGCTACACGTTAAATCGCAAAGAAGATGAAGAACGAAGCGTGGTTTATTTCACGATAAAACATTGTTCTATCATGACGTCATTTCTGGAGATTCGAACATGCGCTCGTAATCTGATGACGTCGTAAATTGGATGACGTTATTTTTGAGAGGTAAGTGTCAAGTGAGTTGTTCCCCATAGATGTAGCTGGACACAGCAGATACACGCAATGGCCAAACGATCGTATCAAAAGTGGAAGAGATATGACAATCGGTATTGGAAGAAACGGTGCAGATAATCTACGTGACAGTTGTGATATTACCAAACTTAACCCCCCTTGTACACAAAATGGAATTGTCCGACATTGCCGAGGTTTGACTGTATTCAGGGAGTCATCATTATTTTAAATATGGATTACTGTCTTTAAAGCTTGTACAATTTATTGACATCCTTCAAAAGGCTGTACAAAATGTTCATATCTCATATATGATTTAAACGTCTCGTGGTCGTTGTTTTATCGTACAGTTTATTCTCCCTGCAGTGTTTTATTGTACGATAAATAACTCCCTCTCGTCGTTTATTTCTTAAATATGTCGAGTTCAAACGATATACATATTTTATAATGCACACACAAATCGTCTTTACAAGTAAAATTCACTTAATAGATAAAGAAACTACCATCTCACTTTTGAATCCTGATCCAAAATCTAGCTTGGCTACATTTAAACAAAATGGTTAACTGTTTATAGTAAAACCTTGTTAACCTGAGGCTCCCATCAAATAAAACGTATAAAAACATGTACCGTATTCGACGTAATAAGCGCCCAGGGCGCTTTCAAAATTAGAAATAGGGGGCTCTTATTAGAATATTATTTTGGTGAAAAAAAAACAGGGTTGAAAGATAAATTTTGTGGTTTAAGCTGACAGCCTGAAATGTTTATATACGAGAGATACATTTTTCCAGAACTTAATTGCTCATAATTAAGGGTGCATATAACACACGAGTGCGTATTATACGCAAATAAATAAGTGTTGTGTACATTGATCAATCGGAAGGGGTGCTAATTGGGATTGTTCACCAGCCAATATATCAGCAAATATCGCCGTTGGCGCTTATTGGAGCGGGGCGCTTATTACGTCGAATACGGTAATTGATCGCATGATCAGGAACAGTTAATATAGTGGTCACCACTTCATTATCCCCGTCTGCCTGTCTGTCTGTCTATCCGTCTGTTTGGAAATACATGTATGGTACCCCCATCTCCCATGTCGTGTGTGTCAGGTTTCTATTTCATTTATTTACTTTTTCACTGTTTCGTCTTTAATACCAACCCGTTTGTTAGGATTCCTTGGATGAAGGTTTGAAAGTAGCGTGACGAGCATGTAGAAAAGACGTAGTAGTTGTTGTGGTCAAGAACATGGGTCCTGCTGTACCCGCTGCCGGTCATGATGTACTCGTATGTAGAGTTACACGCGTTGTTGTATTCCCGTCATGCCAGGCGCTGAGCCTGCGAAATACCAGGTTCGATTTACAAGATATATTCATCTCTCTTCATCATCCTATTTTTATCAATATTTGAGCACCATCCCATGCGTTTCACACACAGCACCAATGAAGGGATTTAACCCAAGAAATTTGTATGCTCAGAAATTGCTTTATTCACACAGTTAAGCGTCCGTGAAGATCCGGGGTAGAATAGGTCTTCAGCAACCCTTACTTGCCCTAAAAGGTGACAATGCTTGTAGTAAGAGGCGATTAACGGGATCGGGTGGTCAGGCTCGCTGACTTGGTTGAAGCATGTCATCGATCCCCATTGTGTCCCGATGCTCATGACATCAATCTTTGGATTGTCTCGATTATTTACAGACAGAGTGCGACGTAAAACAACAAACTAACCAACCAACTTGAGAATAGGCTAACATGAATAGCAACAGATGTCCAGTACATGTGTCTTTTCCGGGTTTTGCATGTCGCGTCCGATGTATATATTAGTAATCTAGCATAGATTCGAAATCAACGGCGACCAATAAATATGAACTATTAAAAAAAAAATGGTAAACTATACATTAAAAACACTTACGGATGTCCGACTTCGTGTGTTGTGACGAGCATGTCGTCAACCAGGTTGTCAGTGTATTCCACAGCTGACACACTGTAATTTGGTGTTTCACATATTGTTCCTACATATGCATATCCTGTGACAAAACGACGATGGAAACTGAGCATGAAACACATTAACATATAGCAGGAAAGCGTATGTTTTTAAACCTTCTTTAGAAATATTCGAGGAATATGACAACGGGTGTTCCTAGAAATGGGCTTCAAACCTTCTTCAGCGTGATGAGCGAACGCTTCAACCACCAGGTTACCCAACCACCTCATGTATCAAGAAATACCTGCTGTTGCCGTTTGCATTGCTTACCTTATAAAGGTAGACTCAATTATGAAGGTTACAGTGATTATATGCATTTAGGATGATGCGAAATATGTGGATATCCGGATGTATTGTTTTCTACCTGAATACACAAAACGCACAGTAGCTGGATGCCGTTTTCAGGAATGTTCTGGGAAGAACAGATGAACATGAACATGACAATAACTTTAACACTGGGTAAAGAACAACACATATCTCACTATGATTTGTTTGTAATATGTGTAAAGCAAATCCTTAGCCATTTCATATCTCAATTAAACAGAAGTATATTAGTTTTCCTGAAGAAAATCCAGAGGCGATATGAGTAATGTCTTTCCTAACACGAATAATTATAATATAATATGACCACAATTTGTTTTCCTTTTGAGTACACATCAAGGTATCCCCGAACCAAGTGTTACCAAAGGCATGTATAGATTGCTAAGATTCTCAATCCAAAATCAAAAAGAAAATATACTACGACTCACCAAGCAGGTTTCTCGTTTGTCCGGTTTTCGCCACAATGAACAGATCGTTCCTAAAACGAATTGGTAACATGACATAATCTTTGAGCACCGACAGAGATTTAGCAGGACAGAGTATCACCATATTAATGATAGCCCTGGATTCTTTAATTGATAGAGTTAATTAAGTTTAAGCATAATTTCAGTCATATATCCACGTGTTAGATTTATGTTTGATGTTCTAAAGCGTCATTAGCCAAATTGCCTTGTGTCGTTTTTTCTTCGATTCATTGAAAATATTTTGTTTCCGATACTGACTTTTAGCTCATGTTTTGTTGTGAACCATGAATATGCTGCCGCCAGAAGACTCCTGGACATCTTGAGCCTGATACCATATCAGTATTTAAAGTGTTTTAAAGCTGAATTTTGAAGCGATGTCGAGTGTTCATACCTATAAAGTGTTCATTACATGGCTGGAAATGGCTCTACCCTTGACCCGATGTGAGGGTCTCAGACGTGAACATATTACCACAATACCGGAAACATAATCAGGGCGAATTTGGGATTCCAGGCTACGATTATCTGATGTACGTGGTAACATTTGTAAATGCAGAAAAAACGAGATGTGTACCGAGAACATTGGGGGAAAAAAGGTAGTGGGATAGAAAGAAAAGGGGTAATGTTTAGAGATATCAAGAAAAGCCGATCTAGAACGGACAGAGTGAGCGAGTTCAAATTCAACCCTGCATCACCAGTGCTTCAGACAAAAAGCAAAGAGAACTAATGAATGAAAACAAACACAAGTACAACACGGGCAACTAATACAGAGATAATACAACAGGGAATAAGATGGTCAGGGAAATGTGTGAATTTAATATTCTTTAAATATACTTTAAGCTGATTGTGACAACTCACGCTGTGAACACAATAATGTGGTCATTGTCAGGGAATCCTGGTGTGTCAGCCTTCCATTGCCTTGTGCCACTGAGAAGTTTATCACCATCTATCTTCGTTTCATTAACTACAGCACTTTGGAACGGTCGTGGTAAATGCACATCCTAAAATGGTATATGGAGTAAAATGATACATACAAAATAAAGATGCATGGAGTACCATGATACATACATAATAATGATACAAGAAGTACAACGATACATAAAAAATAATGATACATGAAGTATCATGATACATACATAATAATGATACACGGAATACCATGATACATACAAAATAATGATACATGGAGTTACATGATACATACAAAATAATGATACATGGAGTACCATGATACATACATAATAATGATACACGGAGTACCATGATACATACATAATAATGATACACAGAGTACCATGATACATACATACTAATGATACATGGAGTACCTAGAGACATACATGCATAACAAAACGATACATAGTGGAAGGTTACATGTCTTTTGTATTTCAGCGTCCGTCCGGAGAGCGGAAGGTCGGAGGTTCGATCATTGACCGCGTTATACCAAAAGACGTTAAAAGATGGTACTGGCTGTACCGGGCGCTCTGCATTAAAGGGCTAAAACAAGGATTGGTCAGCTCGGTCTATATTGAGTCTGAATGGGGTATTCATGTTTAACTGTGGCATGGTATCTCATTGGCCTAGCACTATAAAATCGCAATATTCGAAGCAATACACGCAGTAACACACGCACGCACGCACGCACGCACGCACGCGTGCGCGTGCATGCTCGTAGCTATATAAGCGCAATACTGTTGGAGATGACGTAAAACCCAGACGACTTTGTGTGGTGAGAATATAAACTCAAGACCCGCATCAAATGGCGTGTATCACTTTAACGTAGCATATGTGCTGGTGTATACGTATGAGTCAGGACTCCGTTCCATTTGAAAGTTTCTCATTGACACATGCTTATAATTAGTAAAAGTCGGGGGTGCCAGGGTGGAGCCTTGTGGTTAGAGCGTTCGGTCGTCACGCCGGATACAATGTGTGAATCCATTTCTGGTATTGCCCGCAGTGATTTTGCTGGAATATATAAGCGTCGTAAAACCATACTCACTCATTCACTCATATATTCAAAATCGAAAAATGGACTCTGCTTTTAGCAGAAGTTTCTTATGGTTGTGGAAAGGGCATTGTATCGTTTATTGCGAGTCATTGCAAATATTGATATTGCTTATATTAAAAACTTGGATGTTCTTAACGTATGTATTTTTTGTATGATCCTACGTCAGAATATTGATCGTAACAGACAACATGGATGAATCATGTGCTTAGCGTCTCCCTGAAGTCTGTCCAAGATCTCTTGCGATAAGTGCCGTTACGAGGCATGTAAACACGATCTGAGATTCTGTAAACTCAATCTAGTTTATTCTCCATGATGAATTGTTGTGCTGGGCGATGTTAGAAGTTAGTATCAATACAAAATGTATACGCTATTGATTTACATTGTATAAATTGCGTCTTCTTTCCTCAACGGCATCCATCAACGGTGCTTGAAAGATTCAGTGACATACGTCGTTTGTCTTGTAAAAACTAACCAAAGCACTGATTCACGGTTGATACCAAATACTTGAAGGATGGAGAAGAAAGGAAACGAACTATAATTAGTTTCGAAAGTTACTTTCAGAAAGATCAAAAGCGTTGATACAGTGTGTTGCAATTGAAATTATGTTTTTGGGTACATTCAGTTGGAGCCTCGCGTTTCTCTATTTCTTACATGTACAAAGTGCATCCTGTAATTCTTTAAAAAATGTTAACATGCTTAATGAGGATTATTCCAAGCTGACACGAATAGAACTTCCAAATAATATCTACTCTTTGGGCAATTGAGTGAGTGGGTGAGTTGGGTTTAACGCCGCTTTTAACAGTATTCCAGTTATATCACGGCGTCAGCTTAATGTGGGAGGAAAGCCCGAAGTGACGCAGGTCTTGGACGTTTACCACTTCAGTGAAACCCACGAGCACGGGTATGGTGCTGACAAGCCTAGAAACATAATCGGGACGAACCGGCATTCGAACCCACATTCATAGGTTTTTGGCGTGCCCAAGGGACGCAACTCTGCACAGCGAATCGCGGCGCCTTAGGCGACTGGGCCACCCGTGACTGCGACTAACACATTTATACTATATTCACACAATGAGGGCTGTCTTGTCTCCCTGTTTGCAGATAGGATGAGGTGAGGGCGTGGATCTGGTTCAATAAAGCAATAGTTCAGAAGGAGGTTCGTTTCCGTGGTCTAGTGGGTGGAGTCTGCCCGGAGAACAGAAGGTCGGTGGTTCGATCCCCGTCCGCGTCATACCAGGAACGCAAAAAGATGTACTTGTTGTTACACTGCAAGGTGATCGGCATTAATGGGATAAAATAAGCACTGGTCCCCTCGAAGTCAGTTTACTGTGTGTGGTATCAATGATAAAATGCAGTGGGTTAGCATTATAAAACCAGCATTAGTTCTGCCTAATTATAGCAGCCACACACACGTGTATGCACGTCATTATATACTAAACATGTAGGGGATAGTTTGAATCATTAAGACATCTGATCTATATGGTATTGGCAAATGGAAATGATATGATCATATCTGTTGGGGAGTAGGCATTCAAATCTAATGGATTCCAATGGTTGGTGTGATGAGATGGCTGCGCACAAGGTCATTAAAGTTGGGGGCCAAATTCGAAATTTGCATTTTGCAGTCAGCGTCACTAATATCGGGTAAAACTACCTCTTTTGTCCAGACATGTACGAATTCTTCGAGGCATGCTTCTGATGAGTCGACACATGAGCTTGACACATGTTGTTCCACTCATCAGTGACAGCACGTCTGCCAATGACGTCCTAGACGTCTTCATTGGGAGAAAGATATGTCATGTGCATGACACACTGACATGTCATGTGCATGACAAACTGACATGTCATGTGCACGCAGACAGCTACTTGTATATAACTACTAACTGCATCATCTTATTTTTTTAAGAAGATATACATCAATATAAACTGACGTCCAAAAGAAACTTTACCAGACTTTGAAATCACTCTTGCTCAAAAACAACAAAACGTACATGCATGAAGTAAAGTGTATTGAGAAGATCAATATATCACCATAATCAACACTGAACATGACAATCATACCGCGACCGAGAATGACGTCAGAGCCCCCTAAAGTTGGGTGTGGTACAAAACTCGAGCTTTCAGAATTATGGACAATAGGCAGAGTACATAAACAATCGCTCACGTTCAATAACAAGTCGTTAGTAGCGTGTGTGACCGCCAAATGCCTCAATACACGCAAAAACTTTTCGACGCACAGAAAAAGTCAGTCGTCTGATGAGGTCACGTGGGATTTGACGCCATTCTTGTTGGAGGGTCAAGGTCAGTTCTTGCCGGTTGGCTGGAGAGTGTGGTCGTTGACGAACACGACGATCCATCAAGTCCCAGAGGTGTTCTATGGGGGACATGTTGGGTGATCGTGCAGACCACGGCAGGACGTTGACGTTGTTGGCTGTGAGGAAGTTAGTGACAATTCTGGCTGTATGGGCTCTAGCGTTGTCATGCTGATAAATGACACCACGTGGCTGCTGTTGGAGAAATGGTAGGACAACTGGAAGAAGAATGTTATCCATGTAAGGCTGAGCTGTTAAGTTTCCGTCAACGATGACCAGCGGTGTCCTCTCCTGCCCACAGATTCGCGTGTTATCTCGCAAACATGTAACAGACGATTCACATTTTGTGCATACACTATTGTTGTATTTAGGTTATGTGTTTTAGATAGACTTCATCGTAAAAAAATTATACTTTGTCTGAAATTTATATTTTCAGTTGGTAAAGTTTCTTTTGGACGTCAGTTTATATAAAATACAGATAAGCAATAATGTTATAGTGAGTGAGTGTGTATGGTTTTACGCCGCATTTAGCAATATTCAAGCAATATCACGGCGGGGGACACCAGAAATGGGCTTCACACATTGTACACATGTCGGGAATCGAACCCGGGTCTTCGGCGTGACGAGCGAACGCTTTAACCACTAGGCTACCCGACCGCCCCAATAATGTTAGAGATCTCCCTGACAAGAAAGTTATAATGCCTTAAACCATACATGACGCCATCATTACTGAATTGGCAGACACTAATGAAAGTGATGGGAAAGATGTGTCGAAGTAAATTCTGAGAACACTGCAGAATGCTGTAGAAGGTTATTCAAGGTCAGGTCACGGAGACGTCCGTGTGTGGTCTGCATTCCTTTATTTTGTTCATTTGGAACAATCGGACGTAGAAGAGATATTCCATCACGTGCAAGCAGTGAAAAAACTTTCTAATGTATAAAAAACAACATGGACAAGATAGAGTGTCTCAGTGATCATAAACAACCTTACTTTATGCAATACTTCAAGGGAATTCAGATCTATCTAAACTCGTGAAAACCATATGACGTCAACGATTAAATATCAGATTGATGCTTGCATCGAAATATACACATGGTTTATGCATGTAATTCGATGTTAACTCTTAAATCTCAAATTGGTGCAATCATCGTAAACATACACACGTATATAAACATGTTTTGATATCAACATTTAACATCTGTAAAATTTAACATCAGCTATTTTTTATATTAAATATGGAAACCCTTCAAAATGGTTTTATTCACATTCAAACCTGTCGCTTTAACATAATGAAATATTAGAATGAATGCACAATATTGATACTATTGTTTACACAGAAAACGTTTGCTCTGTAGACTTGCATTCAATTAACAGATAAAACACGCCTACTTTAACCAAGGTTCAAGCTCGCCACAGACTAGCAGCCTTGGTCCCACGCACGACATTAAGTGCTACCTCATCAGAAATCACTCTCCCCCTTGTGATGAACATAGATGGGCAAGCGTTCAGACAGATTAAACATCAAAGATCAAAGGCTACTCAGACTTACTGAAGCAGCCATGCAGTTAGTTGAGGCATCACCGAAACATTATGATTGTGTCTGGAGCCCGCATTTATCGGTAATACCCATTTAAAAAGACACTGTCTTGTGAGGATATTCACTAAATTAAAAGGTACACTACACTTCAAAC